TTTTTATGAATAAGGAGGAGAATGAGAATGATGAAGGCGTTTTCTTGGGGTAGATCCAAGGAAAGACGGGTACGTATCCGCTTATATATACATACTTATACAGTAGACATAGGTGCATACGGAGAGGAAGATGTATATAGAGGCAACCCCTTATGTACGCAACTTTAAATGAGGGCTTAAGATGAATTACTAGGCATCATGTAATTATTCACGCCCGGTTACGACTCTCTCGGGGACGCAGGATAGCGGGGTCTCTACAGGGTTGCACAATTTCGTGAAAGCAAGAAGAAAGGATGACTTTGAATCAGCACACAGTATCTGGATTCACGCCAGGCTTCAGTTCCCGAGCGGTATCGTGAGCGAATCTCTTTGTTGTGATTGGTATCGCCGTCTCATCTGACAAAATATAGCACCTTTTTGGAGCTTTGACCACCGTCTTCAAACACGAAAGATTGAGGTGCACACAGAAGCGGGTCAGAATAGATCGAAAAGAGTTCGCGGCAGTTCAGTAGCTTCGCAGCTACATCTCGTACCCCTGTGGCTTGTTCAAAAAGCCAATATCGATTCTGACACCAACTTTAAAAGATCTGAAAGGAACAGGACCCAAAAACGTTGACCGTCCTCGTTATGATCACCTTTCTCGTGCTCCATCCTCGATGACCTTCTCTTTTTTGACACCCTCAAAATTCCAGGACAGGAAGTTCAGAGTGAATCAGTCACCTGCGTCTGTGAGGTGCCTCCAAAGGTGGCCGAGATGACGGACTGCTCCTCGCTCTCGTTGTCACGCCCGGCAGAGCCAAGGCATGGTGAGCTGCATCAACGTATGTCCGAGTCATTTGGGTCACTTGATAGAGTGAACGAAGAAATGACAGCGAACGCATACAGCTGATGGAGAACCTGATTGCCATTAATGTCCAGCCATTAGAATAGCGACCAGTCCAGTCTCGTTCCTTTGCATAAATATGGTAATAGCGAGAAGGCCAGCCAAACAGAGCCTCAGCTACTGCAAACATGATTTGAAACTTCTTAGAAGTTCCGCCGATTTGAAGCCTTAGCTCCTGTCTCACGTCGTCAGCAGGCACGTCTCCTTCAGATTCTGCAGAATCTTGAGCAGAGCCTCGTGCGCATCCTGCTGACTGTCCGGCCCGAATTCTGGCACGAACCCTGGAAGTGTTGCCAGTCAAGGATTTGGTTCACAATACCCAGACAAGAGCCCACAGAGTGCTCGAAACTGTCTGAGTGCGTCGCAATGGAAAAATACCTTTTATTGAACGGCTCGAATGCCGCCATGGGCGCAAGCGGAGTCATGCCAGGTGGCCAAAGTTGACGAAGAATCATAAAAAAGCGACACACTGGCTTTGTGTACAAGAAAAGGTTGGGAGATGAAACTTATGCTGCTTGAGACAACTGCTTGGCATGAGGGCAGAATAAATTTTGGTTTGCGTGCGATGGAGGATACGCCGCTTGTTGTCGACCACGGCCCTCCACTCGCGAGCGTTCATGCCGGGCCCGCTGAAGCAGGCCTTGAGCAAACGCTCCAGGGAGCACGGCAGGCAGAACTGTGCGACCGGAATCCGGCCTGCATGAACGGAAGAGTCGCAGCTTGTAGCAGGTGATGGTTGGGAACGAGTCGACTACAGATTTTTCAAGGAAAAGATTCTATACCTGTCATTTCTGCTGGTTGACCTATTGCAACGTAGATTGCCGTAAGGATGTTTCAAGTGCATGCGACAAGAAAGATATGCCAGAACTCGAGAACCGCAGAAGGTTTGCTTCTTCTCTTCGCAATCGCAACAACGAGAATGGGGGTCGTTGCTCACAGATCCGGGAGTGGTGGCCGCCCCACAGCAGGTTTTGGAGGGCATACATGAGGCACTGTACCACAGTACTCAGGTAGCACGTGTTGACCAGGTTCTCTAAGCCTTCCCCCGGGGAACTGAGGTTGGGCCTCAGACTGATGGTGACCGGGTCGCGACCTGCAAATGGGAAAAGGTGACGTGTGCAAAATCTAGCACGGAGGCATCTTCCCCGTTGTACACTTCCGAAGACGAAATGGCCGCTCTGCTTTGGAAATATGCAGAGCCCGAGCGTTTTCTTGATCCCGAAAATGCGCCCAGAAGACGCTGAAATCTGGAATATTGTGAGCTCTGCCTTTTCGAGAAACCGTCCGGTGAGGCAAGCTGCTCGAGTTTTTATTTTGGTGACAGGAAAAATCATTGTGTTTAAAGGAGCGTCAGCCGCTACCTGCCCCAAACTTCCCCACTGACTTGTGGCTAAAAAGGGTTCTTCTCGGATATTGACACTCACCGTGGAATCCGCCTGCAATCTCGAACGTATCTTGTGGTTCAGGTTCTATCAGCCCTAGGCCGTTCCCGGGGACCTCCCCCGGGCGGTATCCCGGATGCCTAACATCCTCGAGCGGTCCCCGATAACCCTCTGCATTCGGATCTGGGGGAGTTCTGTCCTTTGCCGTCCTTTGCCCGTGCTTCCTGGGGTCACGCTCTGCTCGGCCCTCGACTGCGCCTGCGCCCCATGAATTTTTTTGCAGGGCGGCCCCTCTTCTTGGGGTTTCACTTGGCCCCAATTGTCTGCGTTGTTCCGGCCTTCGCGATCTAGTTCGGCCCTCCGTTCGAGACCACCACCCTGCCAGGAGAATGGTTTACCGCGTGATCGAGAGAGAACAGATACGACATTCAGACGATTGACTTTAGGGGTGGAATCCGTTTGATTAAAGCGGGCTTCCATGTGGAGTTCTGCAGAAGGTTGGGAGGACTCGCAGGGAAACTAACACAGCTGTCTACAGGGAGAAGGCGATTCTACTAGTGATGGATATGATTTAAGAAACATGGAAGCTTCATAATCTTGCGAAAAGGAGCCACGTAAGAATCCTGACGCCGTTCTAGAGTTACGAATCTGCCGTCGAGAACGAATGTCTCCGAATCTCAGACTCCTTCCAAGGGTTGTCAAAGCAGTAAAGTTTGTCGAGATAAGTGCATGGGAAAAATTCCTCGAGATTCAACCATTATTGAAGACTGACAACTGCGGTAGTCCCACAGTTGCTCTTCAATTAAGTGACATCGATCTTTGAGTACGCGAGATCGAACTGTCGGAGCAGAAGCATCATTGCTAATGATTGATTGGGAACAATCAACTGGCCACAGCTGGATGTAATCTCCTTTTCGTGAGCCTGTTGCTTTTGCAAGCTTTCAATATGCAAAGCAGGGACGTAGAATGATGGGATAATCTAGGCCCGTTAGGACAGATCACGTTCCAAAAGGCTTGGCCCGAACAATTACTTGGCTCACCTGGGGCTCTCGATTCTGGCACCGCTCGTCTCCAACGACCATTCCGCTTTCCGTCGGCCCCCGATCCGTCCGCTCGCTGCAGCGGACGGAATCGCCCGTCATAATCTCCTGAATCTCCAAGGTGCACCCTGCCCGCCATAATTTTTCGCGCAGCACCGTCAGGGCCCGGAATAGCGCCTCGCGCGCGCGCTCCTTCGGCCCCGCGCTCGTAGTGGGGCGCAGAAATGGTGTCTGTACGGAGTCAGTAAAAAGGCTTGCTATATAATTGATTGGTAGCAGACCTCGTACGACTTTGCGCTACTAGATACGACGGTTAGGGCCCTTCGGAAGACCTGAGCACAAGTGCTGATCTCAATCAGATTGAGATGTTGCAGGATGACGTGGAAAGGTTTGGCCGAGCCTGAAAAGCCTGAAGTACAATCTGCTATTTCACGGGTTCGAAGCGTCACCAGCAAATCTTGGCGGCGACTGCAACAATTTCAGTACAAGCCGCGCGACCTTCGGTCGAATTGAAAGACCACGAGTGAAAAAATCTGATCGGTAAGCTCAACGTGGGGACCATATAATGTTTTCCACGGAGTCTGTGATGTGGGGCGAATGGCTTTAAGTCAGGTGTGATTCGTCGACACCTGGACGGACCCAATGCATTGCAGACTGCGTGAACGCTGCAATAATTGTCCGTCTCAAACGGGACGAGCTGCTTCGTGTTGGGACACGTCCCTTTCTGTCAGCTTTAGGTTTGACTTGGGATCCCTAGAACAGCATTTTGCGGAGCGATAAAGCTTAAGTTCGTGGGTGGTGAGCAAATCTGCCAGTCAACTTCACTGTGTGCTCCGTATCCATACGGTGGTAGGCACTGCGGTAATATCAGTGGATACGTTTCTAAAAAACAATCCCCATTAATGCTCCAAGCATCGTGACGTTTTTGACGGGCAGCTTAAAGGGAGCAGCAACTTTCCACGAAGCCTTGTCTTGCTGAAAACACTTGCCAAGAAAATGAGTTTGGGCCGGTGCTACCAAGCCAGCATGCTTTCTCAATACCAATATTTGTGGAAGCAGGCTCAAAGCGCTCACTGCCACCTTCATCTTACCTTGGGCTGTCCATTCTGACATAGCTCGTTTCTGATGACGGGTTTCGCTTCCGCCCGTTCCGCTCTGTTCCGCTCGCGGCCGGAATCCTCAATTCCGCATCTCCGGATCACCACAATGAACCCCAGCTGCCGCGCTCGCTCCTGCAAAACCTTCAATGTACGGCCCAGCTCCTCGCGCCCGCGCGCGTCGCGCGAGCTGTCCGGCCGCGCGCTCTGTTCAAGGCGCAGAACAGGTTCTTGCAAACAATTCCAGTGTTACATCGGAGATCATTTGGCGAATAAGATTTTCTGGTGTTCTTTCGAACAGATCGAGCGAGAAATTTTAGTGTAGGGAACACCTGCAGCACGTTGGCGCACTTTCCAAGCTATTTCGCAGATATCAGAGGTTTGAATCACCATTCAATGGCAACTATGAAGCGTGGGACATCTGTGCAGTTATTTCTGTAGACTGCAAAATCTCCTGCAGCCATTTGAATACTGGGCTGAACCAGATGAACATGGATCATTGGCAATGGGAGCCGGAAGCTCAGAAGCAAGACTCTCAGAACCTTTGATCTTCACCTTGGCGTCGGTTTCCATGTTTGCATCCCTCACTTGGGTCGCCCAAAACCCTGTCCCCTCCCCCAGATCCACCGCTACAAAGGGCGGACGCGGCCTCGTACGTATCCCTACGCGCGAGAGTTTGGGCTGCCCGTTTGACCACCGAGATTTTCAATCTTCCAGCGCGGGATCCCTCTTGTGCTCAAATTTGAACGGTCCACTGGTTCCCTCGTTCCCGCCCAGCTCTGAGCCCTTGAAGGACAGAACATAATTTACAGAACATAAAGCGGCAATTCGTATTGCTTTGCAGCAAGAGATACCCCGAACTTCATGCGACAATGAGGCCTTGTTCCACCGCTTGAGTACGTCAAGGGCCTTGCAAAATTGGTCAAGGATTTGGGTCCCGAAAGCGAGACCCATTTCAAGGTTCGATACGTAATGACGAACCTTCAGAGAGTCTGCAAACGGTGTGGTGAAAGGCACCTCCCATGCTCTGCCAGTGCTTCCGAAAAGAAAATGTGTCGAGGTAAAGCAAGTTGGTTTGATGCCCGTTGAGATTCTCATGGACCGGGCAAAGATTGTAAGCTCGACTTTGATGTGCAGCTTATCGAGCTCGCCATTCGGCTAAGGATCCTCCCTCTGCAATCATTTTGAACGATATGTGAAGAAAGAGGATTTAAAAACTCATTGAAAAGAATCATGTCCAAAATGGGCAGACTGGTATCGGCTGGGCTAGAAAAGACAACAAAGTTAACAGGAACACCAGCCGGTTCCAGAAGAAGGGGTCACGGGACCTTCGAGTCGTGTCAGGTATGGAGGCTGCAGACCGGATGAAGTATGCTCTGTATCAAAAAGTCCTAGAGAAACAATAATAGGGAGAACTCTTTGAAATGCCCGGCATCAACATTGATATCATGGCTGAATTGTACGTATCCTTGTATACCGCCATCGAAGCATCCGCACTCGGAACACGAGCGCCATGCATTCGAGTAATGAACTCCCGTAGGAAGGTCGAGTCTAACTCTCAAAGTGAGAGCCTTTGCCAACCTTTTCAGTGGAGTGCTCCGAGAACCCCTTGAACTTTCCAAGCCGGGGCAAGTCAAAGTGACCCTTCAACGGATGCTGCCACCTTCGAGGAGTGTTTCGTGCAAAGCAACCACGGCTGAAGCCAGATCTGAGGACTGATGGAAGGACGTCACGTAACACTGGAAAGAACCTCACCTTAGATTTTACCAGCGCAAAACAGGACAGCCAAAGCGTCCGTGATGGCTCGTCCACCATTCCGAAGGATGCAACGAACATTGTATACTTCAGCTGGCTCCCTTGCTAGGCCCAGTCCGAGATCTCGACGGGAGGAAAAGCTCCAGCGCGCGCGTACCCTATTCATGGTGACTGTACACTGCTTCATCAACAGGCAGTGCAACCGTCGACTTCGAATGCATGCGTATGAACGGGGGCTTCAGCACCTCGCGCATCAGACTTTCAGAGTTTGAAAGGGAGTGGATTGCATGGGTGCGCTGGCTTTCTGTTGGGCGGAAGCGAGTCGAACCAGACTGGTTGTTCCATGTTCCTTCACTGGATGGGGAGCCCCGTCTACTAGGTGGTGTGCACCGGGCTGACGTCGGCCCTCAAGCTTTGAGATGTCGCAGACAAAAGCGACCGGTGGGGACTTCCCGAGCAGTTGCTTCTGTTCCAATGGGCAGAAAAAGCCCTGGGCCGGCCAGTTTGGCTAGACAGTCCACTTCACCTCGTTCTGACAATGTGCCCGTCCCTAGGAGAACCTGATGCTCTGGGAAAACAGGTTGGGTTAGTACCCTCAGCTCTATGAAGGAAGAGTGACGCAACCTGCCGTTCGCACTTGTCAAGGCGTTGTTGACTTACGAGCGAAGACGTCAGCAGAGACCTCAGAAAAGCTGACACTCATTCTATGCATGCGAACGATCCGGCTGAAGACGAGACGGTTGGACGGGAGCGAGAGAAAGACTGTAGTACCTGAGTGGCGGTCGGTCGATAGACAAGCTACGAATCGTTCCAATCTGGAGCTCCTAGCGGTCTCCATCATGCTAAGCCCTGGCCTACAAATGCCTATGTGCTTTGACACGTCAGCAGCATATGGCTCGTTTCACGCCGGAGGCTGAAAAATGAAAGAACAATTTTTCAATCCCATTGGAAGATTTCTTATGTGCAAAATTGATACAACGCAGCTTGCATATATGTGTGTGATTGCGCACATAAAGGCATCTAATCTGCGTGCGCTCGACTGAAATGCATGATTTAACCTAATTTCAGGTGTTCTCAACGGAATATGCTGTCGTCTTGGATTCATACTTTTCTAAAAAGGATGAAGTGCTTCTTAAGAACAGGACAATCATGTTTTGGCAGCCGTTTGGCAACAAGTTTCCTCGCAGGAGAAAAACTCTGCTTTCCAATTACACGGCTCATTCTCTCAGTCCATGGCGGGTTCAAGGGCGTCTTTGCCCAATCTAAACCTTCCCCACAGGTCAATCGCACCTGAAAACCACCCAGCCTTGCTGAACGAAGTGCCGTTCCTAAGCGCAATTACAGCCTTAGGAATTGCGTTGAACGTGCTGATTTCAAATGGGTGCAGATGTAATCTTTTTGACGTTATGTAACGAGATCGCAGTCGACTGCCGTCTCTAAATGATCTCTATCATGGTACTATGACCATGTTCACCACTACTCAGGTTGCTACAGTGCAATCACGGTCACTTTTTTGCGGAGCTCAAATCCGTCGGTCAAAATATCCGAGTTGTGGCTGCGTATCACGGTTTATACATTGAGTTCAACTAACATCAGCCCAGCTAGACAGTCAAAAAACTCTGATCTCGAAGGATTCTTGTGACCCAAAAAGCTCGACCCACCCTGTCGTCGCCTCTGCACCGTTTCTGATAGCTGCCAATCGACGAGCTAGACTCCAATCATCGAATTCGCTATTGCACATGCTAGAATGACCTACAAGCTTCACACCAGAAGCCTACAGATCCTAGAACATCAAAACCTCAGCTAACGGCAAATCATTCTTTTGCGGCCGGGTGATGCCACGTCGAGGCTTCCTAGCGAATGGGTGCTCGCTGTCAAACAGTGGCTGGCCAGATGTTTTCAAACAATCCCATCCAGGGTGCCGTCTAGCAGAGCATCCGCATCAAAGGGTAACTTGCCCTTCGAAAACCTTCCGCCCATGCCGCTTCCGTCCGACTCCATCTTCCAGCCCGTTCCGCTCCGCCCTCCATCTCGCCCAGCGGAACCCCCGCTCTCGCCGAACGGCTCCACGCTGCAGGCCAGCACCGAGTCCTGCAGCCCTTCTTTGGGCGACGGAATCCCCAAATTGTCGCCCGGTAATGTTTTCCCGGTTCCGCGCGAAGTTGGTACCGGAGGGACTGATGACTCGCCCTTTGCATGCCGCTTCCTGTCCGGAACGTCATCGTCGGACGACACCGCTATAGGGCTACTGGCAGTCCCTTCAAGCGCAGACTGCGCCCCTTCTCTGCGCGGTCTCTTCCCCCGGTTCCTCAGCGCATGCCGGGCACTCTGGCCCCCAGTCTCCTCATCGACACCTCTAGTCGCACTACCCCCCGTCAGTTCCCCCCTTAACCGCGGCCCACCGCCCGGGGCGCTGTTCTCCAGCCAGGTTCCTATCAACCGGGCGCTCTCATCAGTCTTCGTCTTGCGTATTCTACTGCGCTGCCTGCGCGGCACCTCACTAAAGTGCGCGCTCCCCATGTACTTCTGCTTCTCTCCTACGTCATCAGCGCGCGCTGCTTGTGTGCCCCGCGCGGCCGCTCGGCGTCGCTTTTGGGCGCGAGCGCTCTCGCGTAACTCTGCCCACCCGCGCTGACTTGCTTAACTTGCTCGACAGCGCCCGGCGACGCCAAACCCCAGTGCTTAGAGCACATGGTCGCCTGCAAGCCGCCTTTCTGGTCGGATGGAAGCGGTTGGTCGGCGCTTTGCGACTCCGCGGTAGAGGCGTCTCCGATGTGCGCCTTACTGCGCTTTGGCTCTCCCCCGACCGCTCTTCGAAATCCATCTGTCGGGCACAAATCGAGTGCCGTCTGGCTCCAGGTTTGCAGCGACGTCTCCTCCTGCGCTTGGCTTCCTCCGTCCCCAGGTGAGTCGTTTTTACTGGGGTCCTCGCGCCTGTTCAGACCAGCGTTAACGCCTATCTCGTGGTCAGCCGATGTCGCCAATCCAAGGTGGGCCCCGCTGAGCTGAGAAGCCGATTCAGCAGAGGCTTGCGGCGGCGACCCTGCCATGTGGCAGTCTTGCGCCCGTGTTTCGTGGTCCTTTCCCCGCCTCAACCATGCTTCAACCGTTTTTGCTGCTGTTCCGGAGCTGTGTGAGCGGGGAGAAGAAGAAGAAAGCCTATCATCTAGATTGGTACCGTCTCCGGTTCCCCGCTTGAGGTTTCCAACCTGCAGAGTGCAAATAAAATCTGGTGGGCAGTACCTATCATGTCTGAAGTCCTCAAATATTTGATGCATTCAGATTGGGCGGGAGACACAGAAGCATTGAAGCATATAAATCGCTTTAATTGCGGACGTGCAGACATTTATCAGTCCAGTTTGTTTTGTTCATGGATCCGTAGCTTCAATACTCACTTCGTGCGACAAGTATAGATAATTGCGCTTAGCGAAAGGTTTGAGGTGTTGACGCGAGAAGCGACCAGCGGGCAACTTGCGAGATAGATGAGCCTTCTCTATTAAATTGTAGGACTAACATCTGCGTTTTGCTGGGCACTAAAGTAGGAAGTTCTTTCGCAAGTTCAATCCTTTTTTGCGCTTACCTGTTTGTTCCGGCTGAAAGTGAACCCGGAGGAACTTTCACTATCGGATACAGTGTCAGAAGCTCGTCCAGTTTAAGTGGCAGCAGCGGCGGCCCGCGCGCCTCAATGTCCTCCTGGTTGGTCGCCTGCAAGATTACCAGAATCGTACCGCTTATCAACCGGTTAAATGGCACCGTTGCTCAGTAATTGGCCTCTCACTTCAGAGATGCGTTTTATAGAGCAATGATTGCAGAAGTCGATGACGAAGCTCTGATGGTTATGACATGTGTGTGGCGTAAGCCTTCGAAAGGGAACTACATAAGATTAGGATTCAGCTCAACTAAAGCTCTTGACAAAGAGCTACTTTGTCTATCTTTCTTCTGCTCATCTTGATCATGCCGATGTCGATTCCTTCTTTGAGATTTAAAAGGTCGCTTGAAAATCGATGATCAGATAAACTAGCTGAAGTCAACGCGCACAGGCTGCGATTGAATCCATGAAAGCATTTTTTGGGTCAGCTATGCCAGGTTGTTGCAGCCCGGACACTCTTGTCATTACAGGCCTTCACAGGATTCGAAGACCTTAAGACCGGAAACCATCCGTTTTTTGATCCTGCACTAAAGGAACCGACAAGATGCAGACTTCACGTGGGTTGTGCCGCTCATGGGCTGCGCAGCAGCTGTCTCGGTCGTCAGGTCACGTTTGAGGCTTTGCACTCTCTCCCTCAACATGCGCTCTTTGCGGGACAGCGCGGTGCGTTCCGCCTGCTCGCTTTCACGCTCCTCGAGGACCAGAAAGGGAACCTGTATCAAAGGCAGAGTTATGACTTCAGTGGGCGATTCAAGGTTCACTTGCATCTGCAATCTGATTACTTGAACTTTGAGGAGATCTACTGTTGAGTATCGAAATGTTCTCTTCCGTCGAGATTGACAGATATTGAACCGAAGCCCTCGCGGTCAGAAATAGATTCAAAGTCCGCCAAACGAATGGCCTGCAGAGTTCCATTCACGCGAAGCTAGTTCCTTTGCTTGAGCCATGACCTCATAGGCCCTGTCAGTATTTGGAAACGGTATACCACAGCTTTCAGACTGAGGAGAACACCAGATCCTGGCAAATAAACAGCCAAAGCATCCGTCTCGACTGCTTCGAGGTTGCGAGAGGGTCCGCGGAACATTTCAGCGGAAGTGAAACTGGTGACTGGGGATATTGCAGACAAACCAAAAGGAACGAAACTTGAAGCTCGCGTGCAGTTGACCTTCAAAAACACTCAACTGTAAGGCGTAAACCTTAGGATCAGAGTTGCCGTTCAGAGGCTTTAAAAAGCCAAAAAGGGGGGTATTTGCATGCTTCAGAGCGTGAACCAGCTCTCAGGAAGAGATTCCTAGGAGAGTTGTCTGAGGGCAGCCGGGCTTGTTTGCATCAAGAATCATGATTGATTACGCGCACTTCGGACTTTCAACCAGTCGCTTCGACAGTGTATTCAGCCACCCATACCTGTTGCGGCATCGGATAGGTAGTTTCGAAACGCGCTCTATCTTTTTGAGTCTCGCGCAACCGGTTGTTCCTCTTTGAATGTAGCCGGTGCCATGTAAGTTTTGTTGTCTCGCCGTGTGAGTCGGTTGCAGGGTCGGAGGTTGTCACTGCCGTCCCGGTTCTCTTGGGGATCCCTCTACTTTCCACCAGGCTAGCTTCGAATGTTTGGGATCCCCAATCACTGGCTAGCACATCAACTGCACGATGAAGGCAATACGCTTTTGGCTAACGGACAGAATTGGCCCCACAAGCAAACGCTTCGCCATCACCGCGGATATTCGACGTAGCATTTTCCTAGAATCTTGAGTTCAAGTCCCTGAACGCCCATGATTTTAGTGGTGCTGCAATTTCAGAGAAATAGGTAACTCTAAGGTTGCAAACTCCTTCGGTTCATTTGGAGAAGGAAACCCACGGGCTTTGTGCATGCCATTTACTGAAAGCAACTTCCCATTCAATTGGCTTTAGTGGGCATCCAAATTGATTCAATCGTACCCCTTCCGAAGAAGCTCTCAAAAGTGGGTCTCCAAGTGAAAACATCCCTTCGCATCTTCTAAAGATGAAAGCCAGAGAGCTTCGTGCATGCCCGTGGAAGGCCACCCCTTGTTTCAAATGGAATGTCAAGCAACGGGTGTTCCTCGCTGTCATCAAGCCGCTTGATCTTTGGTCCTCTGGTTGCATTTGAGCGCTCGAAGTCCATCTTCGACCCAAATGGTTGACTAGCAACGATGATCAACAAGAATTCTCAACCAAGATGGAAGGAAAGATACATCTTACGGGTATCCCTTCATACCCACAGCAAGTGAACGACCAAGTAAGTGAGCCTTCCAAGGCTTCCAGATGGATAGGTTTGAAGAGGAGCGCATGAGACTCGAGAAAGCACGAGAGCTGAAAGTATGGTAAGAGCTTACCGCTTGTAAGAAATTCTGCTCGTCGAGAGTGCCCCTTCTCAATCTGCTGCCTGGCCAAGGCGCGGCTGCGACTCAAGTCGAGGCTGTGGTGCGGAAATGTAACTCCTGAGTCACGATATCATCCTCAAAAAATAATTTCATCGCGACCTGATCCTTAACTTGGCACAAACCCAGGATGGGCCTCGTGATGTGTCAAGCGACCCACTTCCTCTTGATCTGCATCCGTACACACTCTTGCACATCTTTTGATTTTCTGACCCGCAATCTGACAATTCAAGCTTCCCTGGGATGCTGATCACGTGACTCGGTCACGCGCGAGCAACAGGCAGTCTAGACGTCTACAGTCGATCAGTCAATCATTGTGACTGCGCCCAGTACTCCTCGTGACACTCAGATGAAGGCACCGTACGGTACGGTGCATGGGTCGGCTTGGTCTCTGACAGCGCGTGTGAGAACTGCCGTACCAGGGGTTCTAGCAGGATTTTGCCCGGAAGAACTTTGGCGCCCCGGGGCTCCCAGCCGGGACCCTGGGGCGCCCACGCAGTAAGCGCGCGTGGCCCGGGCGTGGGCGGCCCTCCGGGCCGGGGCGCTCCGCGCCCCGGGCTGCCAGAAGCTGCCCGGGGGCGCTCTGCGCCCCGTTTGGCGCCCCGCTGGAACCCCTGTGCCGTACAGTCACACCGACTTGCTGGATGCAGGGGCCGGCAAGGTACGACCAAATAATCACTGCCTTCACATAACTGAAGTCGTCGTATTATCAGGTCTGTACTGTGCCTATTTGTGACTACGTGTGACAACATGTGACATCTGCGGTTCTGATAAGTATACCCTGGTGCAGACGGACGGGGCGCAGAGCAGGTTGCATGGCGCTCCCGGGGATCATCAGGCGCTATGAAAAGGGCCTGGCGCTTGCGCGCGCGCCTAGAAAAGCAGTCCTGCTCCCCGGCGTGAAATCCCGGGTCGCAAAAGCGCCTCGGGGCAGAGTTCTGTCCGCTTCTCCACTTTGACATGCAATGATGAAACTGTGAGATCGGTCGGGGAATTTGAAACACGTGTTGAAATGGATAACCACAACGAAGGAAGTGAGTCTGGACGACCGGTCAACGGTGCATCACCAAGCTTGAAGGCGGCCGCGGCGTTGGGGGGCCGTCCAACCGGGTACCTCGCGCCATTCCCCGACGAGGAGTACCGGATGTAACGTGGAGCTCTCGCTTCCACTTCTTCCTCTTTCTTCTACCGTCTCTTAAAGGAAGCCAACGCATGATGTGGGCTTCCTGCCTCGCTCAAAGCCTCGCGACAGAAATATAGTGTGCCCTTTTCGGAAGGTGTGGCAAAAGCTTCATCTCATATACGTCGGCTATTTAACTTCATCGGAGCTGCATGGTAATATGTGTCACTTGGCCGGCACGTTCATCGCATGAGCCAAGATCAAAAAATTTATCTCCTGGGCGGGGATTGTTGCTGGTGAATTCGAAGAGGCCTACAACTTCAATTGGGTCCGGACCGCCGGCGCTTCTCACTCCATCTCTCCACTTGTATGCATCTCGGTAGCTCGACGAACAAGGTGTGGTAGCAGTACTGCGAGTTGATGCCAAGGGGCTCCTCGCGGCCGCCGCGCGCCTCCCCGCGACGTCCCTCACACCCGGTCCAGAATACATCTCAGCTTCGGCCCTCCGCCCTTCCAGCTTTAGCGTGTCTGAGCGCACCGGATTTGACACACCAGTGGCAGTCGAACTTGAACGGCAAAGGATGCCCACGTGCGTTCCCGTTCAGCAGCGGTGCAACTTTGCAGTCTTGGCGTTTTTTCGCGGCCGCGCTGAGATCTGCTAGCCTTGAAGAAATTGGTAGGGAAGCACTGCTGTGTGCAGCAATCTTAACCTGACATACCGCTGAGAAGGTCGTTCAAAGCCATTTGATGTTCTCGGCACCCGGAATTTAAGATGGGCTTTGAGGAGGCGACAGGTTCTGGGTCTTTCCTTTGTGGTTGATCTCACTCTCGCGAAAGCATATGTTGACAACTATCTGACTGCCCAGTAAGATGCATCGATACTGACAAGTTTGCAGAGACGGAGCCACGCATTTTGAAGCATATGAAGGCAGGTGCGTTCGTTGACGAGCTCCCCCATACCATTATCCTTCGTCAGGATGTACGAGCTTCTCAGACTATAAGCCACGACAAAGGTGAACAATACCGCTTGGCGGCTTTAAGACCTGGTTTGGTGGGCATCGTTTGTCCGATCTACAGTTCTCCGGTTTTGAGGTTCTTCTCTTCTGAACCTTATACAGCCGTAGCTTCGATGCTCAGGCTTTTCTCCTGCTCGAAGAATAGTAAGTCTAGCTTCTAAGAATTGCGGAGCAGTACAGTTCACTTTTCCACGTCCACACATTTCCAATTCGTGTGCTGCGTACGTAGGGCTCAGAACCGCTTTCGACTTCAAAGATAGTCGCTTTTCCTCTCATTCGTTCTTTCTGGCCATATCATCCTGCGCTCGAACCAACATTTACACACCAGCCTTCAAGGCTCCTTGACAGATTTGAATGCCGGGCGTTTCTTATCTCAAGTTTCTCGCTCATCCCCCCCTTCCTCTTTGTCAGGCTCCGTTTCGAAACCAGGCTCGGCCTAGAACAGACGCTGCGGAGATGGACCATAGGTGAAAGATGCACAAACGTTCTCTCAATGAGTTTGCTGCACTCCGACCGCAGCCGATTGATGATCCGAAGCCTTTGCAGGCTGCGGCCTTGCCGAGGTCGTACCACCAGCACATGCATCAGAGGCGTGGCCTTTGTGGCCCACGTGGCCCCGGCCGCGATGGGACCGCCACGTGGACATGGGCCACCGGCAGGCTCTCGCTCTTGAGATACCAACCAGTAACAAGTCTTCAGTCGGCTTCGCTCCCTAAGCAGTTCTGACACGCCTTCGGAGTCGCATGCTAAAGGAGCTTATCAAACTGATGCGAGTGCCTTTGATTTTCTGCAGGCTATATTCCTTTTTGATATTGACAAAGCCAATCGAGGAACCGGCGCGCCATTCTTTGCGGCGATGTATGAGAGAGGTCCTAAAGATGGTATCAAAATCTTGCGATACGAGGTGCTCGAATGCGTGAATGGGTAGACTTTGAAAATGTTCGCACATGCCAGATGAATCACTCACAATGGGGATTCCGGTTGACCGTGCTCCGACGCCGAGCCTTTATGGTCGCGGCGAATGTGGGTTCTAAGATTTCTAGCTCACAACGGTTGTTGCGGGAGGTATAAATTCTGTAGGTAGATACCACCGTCACGTTCTCATATAATAATCACAATGATATCTCCAGAAGCGCTCGACTTCGACGAGGTACTAGATATACGTACTAAGACGTGTGCTTAATCTTATATGTATCTGCGAGTCTGCGAACGAAGACTCAGAAACGAGTGCAACTGCGCGCTATAGCAACAAGGCCGTATACAATGCGCGACTTGAAAGTGATATGAATGTGCATAAGGTTTTGTGAATAATTATACCGAATCGTGGTCACATGCGCAAAACTCGAGCTACCTACCCTCTTCGAGCCAATATGCGCACACATGCGCGGCCGCCAATGCTTTTATGTTAGAGTTAAAGAGAAGACAAGAAGTCAGCTAGCGCAAAATCCTCGCAGCCCGATGCGAAAACAGCGTGAACAAATTGAATCCGACAAGCAGGTAGTTCGTCTCCTTTCAGAATTCACAGGCTGCATGCAGTGAACAACTCAAAACGAGCTTATTGAACAATCCTTTGCTAATTGTACATGGAAGGTTCGCACAGACCTCCGAAATGACTGTTACGTTTTATTGGAAGTCAGAGACTGGAGCTCTCTATGCGCGCGCATAGTACAAGCTTTAGCTATAGCAAGCAAGGGAACCTTGTACCGTAAACCCATCGACACCAGATACTACCTTCTTCTCCTACGGGCACCTTGAAGGGCAGCCAAGCCGGCCTGCTCGACCGTGCCTCTCTCGGACTATTGCTTCGAACCGGGTTTGCTAAACCACCTTCTGCCCACAAACTTCAACACCTCATTGCTTCGAACCGGGTTTGGTAAACCACCTTCTGCCCACAAACTTCAACACCTCATCTACCGCTACGATCGGCGCCGAGAGCGCAATGACTAGGAGCCACTCGTTCGTGCTGAGGGGCACCACGCCGAACGCCTCTTGCAAGAACGGCACCGACAGAATGACGAAGTGGAGGCCGAGGGAAACGCTGATGGCGAGGAGCAGCCACTTGTTGACCCAAGGCTTGGTGGTGACCAGGCTGTTGTTCTCGGAGAGAGCGTTGAGGGCGTTGAACATCTCGATGAGAACGAGAGTGGACATCGCCAGGGTGGACGCCTTCACCTGCAAATATGCGAACCAGAAGAGTCATCAAACGGGTTGCTTCAATACAAACGAGATCCCGAGTTACACTGGCGAGAAGTGCTGCCTGTAACACTCAACGTTCTGCAACTGGAGGAACTGGTTCTCAGCTTGTCCCCGAGGAAGAAAACGAGGGGTAGGCAGCAAGACATCCAACATCCGCTCGGAAGGGAATAAAAGCAGATGGTCTCCACGAAGCGTTCAATCTCCTCCTTGACCCCGGGTTGCACCGCCTCTCCAACCAGATCATGCAGGCACTCGAAAGGGTGAGAGGCCTTTCAAAGCAGGATCGGAGCTCTCTCCTTATTGTGGGCACACAACAAATCACTCGGCACATACGTCTCATCACACTTCTCACCTTGCCCGTCGTGAAGTAATCACACGGGTTGTCCATCGCAATCGTGAGCGCGCCGGCGGTGTACGGCGCGGGATGGAAGTCGGGCCACGTGGAGCACGTGCCCCAGCTGGAGAGCTGCTGCCACGTCAGCACGGTGTGGCCGTCACCGGAAAGGTCGATGCCCAAAAAGGAGGGGAACAGGTACCAGATGCCGAACGCCGCGACGGTGGCGATGCCGACGTATGCGCCGATCACGGAGTAGCGGACGAAGAGCCAGCCGCTGACAAGGCCCTCGTCACGCGAGCGGGGGGCACGCTGCAAGGAGAAACGAGGGGGGTGGGAATGAGGATCGAGAAGAACATGTGGACGAGACTCAGAAGGGCGAGACCTTGCTGACTCTCGGATAAATCCATTGGGCAGCCGGGTTATCTTGGCCGGAGTCTACTACCAAAGAAGAGCAGCAAGTGGTGTTGGGGGACTCTGCAAATGGTGGAGTGAGAACTGGAGAGTCGGATCAAGAATAGGCGGAGCAAGAAGAATTGCTATGTTCACGCGAACGAGCTGTTACGCCAGATCGTTAAGTTGTTGAGCAGCTCACAGAGTGGACAAGCGGCAGAACCCCTTTCTAATTTGGAAAAGGCGGACTGATACTGAACTCGGACCTCCGAAGCCTTTAAAGTTAAGGGAAAAAACTATTCGTTCCCGTAAGGCCCATCACAGCGAAGGTTCGCAGCTGGCCCTGCGGCTTCCGTTCACCCCTCACCTCCATGATGCCCTCCTCTGGCGGGTTGAAGCCCAGTGCAGTCGCAGGCGCTCCGTCCGTCACAAGATTCACCCACAGCAGCTGCAGAAACAGAACCACAAAAGATGGTCAGCTTGGAAGCCGCCTGCTGTTTGGTCAGCTTGCAAGCGAGATAGCAATCACTCTTGCAAGCCGCGGAGTTCACTTGAGGGTTCAATGGGAAAGCTGAGGTCGGCCGACGCTTCGATGACTCCCGGGCAGATATAAACACATGCTGGTTTTGCTAGGTGTCGATTCTGACTTTCACGATCCGTCGTGGCGAGATCGAGAAGGTTGAGACGGACCCCTGTGGACATCTTTGAATCCGTTGCTTGTTGATAACAACGGGCAAAGAATGAAAACCGAGGATCGAAGGGCCATTTTGACGAACTTGCAGAGGCGTATGCACCCTTTTGGGGGAGGCTAAGCTTGGCAGCAAGAAAGGTGGACATCACTTTAACATACTCCTAAGCGTGTCGTGCATCCTACTTATGCTTCATCCTCAGATAGCATATGGGACTGTGGCTCGCCTGCACGGGTATGAGGCCCTGCGTGACAGCCAAATCTATACCAGTTCGCATAAAGATAAGCGTGTCGCCCATGCTACCTACTTATGCTTCATTCTAAATAGCGTATGCGATGGTGGCTTGCCTGCACGGGGATGAGGCCCTGCGGGAGGCCGAGCGCGGCGGCCAGGAAGATGGACACGACCTCGCCGATGTTGGACGAGATGAGGTACCGGATGAACGCCTTCATGTTGTCGTAAATGGAGCGGCCCTCGCGCACCGCGCTCACGATCGTCGCGAAGTCGTCGTCCGCCAGGATCTGGGCGACAAGAGTTTCGTCTTTTTTTCATTTTATGTCCCTTCTATCTTCTGCACTCTTTTCATGGTTCTTTTTGCACGGGAGTGACAGGGCACGAAGAACGGGTCCGTGTTCGTGTCGCCGGAGCGTCTGCCGCGCCAGATCGATCCGTTCGAGAAGCGGAAAGGTCCGTAGCGACTTCCAGACGCTGCATCCGGACAAGTTCTCGCAGAAGACACAAAGGAGCGACGTCGTCACGAAACTTGGCGAATCAGCGCCGATGCCTCGCCAAACACCTGTTCACCAAATCAGACTTTCTTGTAGACCTGTTTGACGAGCGCATCAAATAAGCATGTCCTGCTGCCTCACCATGTCCGACGCCTCCTTGGCGACCTCCGTCCCCGAGATGCCCATCGCAATCCCGATGTCGGCGCTCTTGAGCGCGGGGGCGTCGTTCACGCCGTCGCCCGTCATCGCCACCACCTGCGCTTGGTCGAAAGGAGACGCTCACGTCAGCACCAAGGAAGATGAACCGGACGCTTACGTCAGCTGCAAGGAAGCGAGAGCCCTCCGCTCGAGCCGACTTCTTCGGCTGCCTGGCTTGTCCTCTGGAAGGACAATCCCCAAAGGGCCAGACCGGAGCGGAACGGTGCAGCCGGAATGAACTTGGTCTGCCCGGCAATTCTGACAAGTCATCGTGGCAGCACAATGTAACCCACGCGAGAGCGAAGATATGATCTTAACATCCAATAATCGAACGTCTATTGTACAAACAGGCCTATCGTGAAAAGTTGCCGGCTTGCCGCGACGTTCGCCAAAGAGCTCGCTAATTCAAAACTTGTACCCGGGCACTCACGTGTCCCCCGGCCTTCAACAGCCGTACAATCTCCTGCTTGTGCACTGGCTCCGCACGCGAAAACACAAGCCCGCTCCCGGATTTAAGCCCCTCCAAAAGTACCCCTCTTTTCGCCCCCTCGGGCAGCCGCATAAAGTCTCCCCCCGTCATGGACTTTGACGCAAGTTCCTGGTCCGGTGTGAAAAGGCCGATCTCGCGGCAGATCGCCTCGGCGGTGTTCTTATTGTCGCCCGTGATAACAATCACGCGGATGCCGGCTTTCTTGCACTCGGCCAGCGCGGGGAGGACTTCTTTCCGGGGGGGATCCTGGAAGGGGGAGCGAAGAAGGGGGGTAAGATAAAAGTCGTTTGGTGTGCTGGACAAGTGCGCTAAGGTGACCAAAAGAGGCTCAAGTAGTAGGACGTCTCCTTATCCGCGCTCACTTTATTGAGTCGTACATACAAGTTCCTGGTCACCTCATAGCACCTGCTTCAGCGACGTCGTTGCTTCAACGCTAGACCGCATCCGCTGCAAAGCCCCATTGCTTGTTTATTTTTGTTAGGACATTTCCAGGTGCCCCTCTTCCAACCTGGACTACGTACAAAGTGGCTCAACGCCGAGATGCGCTCTGACGTGCGATCCCGCGAAAGCTCCTTACTTGCAGCCCCGCCAGGCCCACGAACGTGAGGTCGCTCTCAACGTCTGCGTAATTTTCTGAGTCCCGCAGCAGCGCCTGCCCCGGGTGGTCCTCGCTCCCATCGTAACTTGACAGATCGCCTGCGACGAAGCGAAAGCGTAAGTATTCAAAGAATCTATGTCTTCGCTCACATCTCCGGGGTACAAGCGGAGGTTTGCAATCACGAGCTTCGACCTTGCCTGCACTTTTCGGATTGCTTCAATTTCACAGCTCCTCTTACGGCATGCAAACTGTTTGCGACGGCGCCCCACTGCTAGGCACATCAAGGAGAAAGGCAGGGCTCAAAAGCATCAATCACAGAAGCATGAAGGACTGGGCGACGGACTCGAAGTTTCGAAAGCAAGCAAGCGGCCAAATTGTAAAGAAGGGCCGATGCTTCCCTTGATCTCGGTCGATTCCATTCGACGTCCTCACTTTGCTTATTAAGAAGGTGACCGAGGTAAGCTTCCAAAAGAGAGCTGCTCCTGGATTCTTCACTCTGACTGTCCAGCGGCTTCACGGAATCTTTTGCAGCGTGGTTAGGGGCGTACAAAAGCTGTTAGCACCTGGTTACGCAGCCCTAACCCCACGCTGCACTATCGACAAGGACCCGTTCGCTCACCCAAATTTGTCTTGACGCCGAACGCGAGGCAGCGCAGGCCGCGCGAGGTGATGCGGTCAACCGCGGCCAAGATTTGCGGCCGGACGTCGTCTCCGAGGGGCACCGTGAGACCGGAGCTGAGCAGCACCTTGCTGCACCGCGCCAGGACGCACTCCGCCGCGCCCTGAAAGGACGAAATGAGAACGTGGCCTTCAAAACATGAGTGCCGATGATCGTGACATGTGGTTGCTTGACATGAAGATTGGGTTCTGCCAGTGAAGGAGCGTTCACTTCAGCAGCAACGCTACGCAGCTCGTCCGCGGCCTGGATGTATTGAAAAAGCTTAGGCTTCTCACGTAGGGCGTCATATACTGCTACTGTGCTTGTAAGGTTGTGTTCAGCGGCTATTCATAAACGCTGACATCAGATACTCAACCCTTATGCATGCTCAACGAGCCTCGCATCTCCTCGTCTGCTGAAGCGCTGGGGCCGGCTTAAACTCTCCTATGACCCTACCACCTCAAATGCCTGAAACCCTAAACCCCTAAAACCTAAAAAACAAGACAGTCTGCAGCCTCAATGGGGATGCCGCACGAAACAACTCGAAGGTTGACGCACGACGGCTCACCTTGACGAGCAGCCTGTTTCCCCCAAGACCGAACAGCGCACTGGAGGTGCACACGACGCTCATGGACTTGCGATTACGGTCGAACTCCAGCGTCGCCAGCCGGGCCGTCCCGTCCTTGTAATCTTGGCACGCCCCTGCGAAACGGGCGGCAAATTGTGGTCCGGTTTTCGGAGCCTGAGTGTGATGATTCAGGGCGTTGGGGTACACTAAGAGGCCGACGCATGTGACAATTGACTTATGAAGCCTCCGATGCAATCGAGTGGGATCGTTGGCACGATGCGGTGCAAAGCCTCGTTCCGGGACACAAAGCTTAGGCGGAGGACGTTCGGAAACCCAGAAAATATGGTAGTCAGAGAAGTGTTTCCGTATCCTCTTAGATCAGCTTGAAACTGTCCACTGTGCAAAACGCTGTACGGTCCCTGTGAACAGCCCATACAAAAGCTGGTTCGTTCCTGACCCACACTCAAAGACAACCAGTGAATCACATTATCTTGCCATGCTTCCGTTTCTGCAAGCAGTGGCGCTTACCTAGAGCCGCATTCTCAGCGTCGGCGGCCCGTGCTTCTCGCAAGGCCTGCGTCCGATCCTTGTCCGGTACACCCAGCTTCTCCACCAGTACCTGCCGGGTTCGACACGGCGACGTCAGCACGACGCACGAATGAAAGACACGCCGGATACTACTTGAAGACGGCTAGTGCAGAGCTAGGGTTTACAAGCAACTAGATCGCGGGCGCGATTGGACATGCAGATTCAAAAACAGAAGGAAGAACAGCTTGCAGAATGATATGGGCGATGCAAATGGAAGGCCAAAAAGCATGATCAGACGGCAGACTGAGAGAAGCAGGAATGACAGCCAGTTGAAGAGGCTAGGCCGGGAAAAAAGATGCGGCGAGAATGAGTTGACTGCTTGTTCGCACCTTGAGCGCCGCCTCGGTCGGCATTCCCGTCGCTCCGTACGCGCCCTTCTTGTACGCCAGCCCCGCATCGTTGCACACTGCCGAGATCTCCGCAATCGCCTCCAGGCTCTTGTCCAAGCCCCCCCCTTCAATTGGCAGGCCTACCACCCCCCCGTCCGCAGGATTATAGGTCGTGCCCTCGACCACAAACTCGCGGAGCTCCCCCGGAGTGAAGCCGACGGACACGAGCCGGACAACGGACATCTGGTTGGTGGTCAGCGTGCCGGTCTTGTCCGAACAGATGACGCTGGTGCAGCCCAGGGTCTCGACGCTCGGCAGCCGCCGCACAATCGCGTTCTCCTGCGGAGTTGAAGAATTGGGTAAGTGAGACGAAGTAACAGGGAGAGGCAAGGAATGATGAAGAGTTGTTTGCGACAGTTCTAGTTTATAAGATGGTAAGAGCTCCTGTCGAGCGATGAGTGGGGCTTCTTTGACCCGCTTTGCGGATTCGAGGACGAAAAGGCTGGCTGCAATTGGTGGTGCATGGCGGGATGACAGCACGGTCAAAGGGGGATCTGAATATGATTTCGTGTTCGCACGAAACGAAGACGATGAACAAGACAATGCAAAGTTACTAGGACAACTTCGCCGAGGAGGACAAGGGACCACCCGAGCGCTCCACTGCCAGCTCTGCTCTTCAGATCTTGTCGTCATCCCAAGCACCGTAGGCACAATTCTGAAGTAGCACCAAAGTGAAGCCGCACCTCCGCCATGCGCTTGGTCCCGAGCGCGAGGCACGTGGTGATGACAGCTGGCAGGCCCTCGGGGATCGCCGCCACCGCCAGCGCGACCGCCACCTTGAAGTAGTACGCGCACTGCTGGAAGTCGAACTGGATGTTGGAGGGGAACGGCGCAGCGGGGTCGAAGGAAAGGAAGTACTTGTAGTTGATCACCCACACGAGCACGCACACGGCGCCGACGACCTTCGTGAGCAGGTCCGCAAAGTCGTCCAGCTTTCTACGGAGGGAGTGAAAGAAAAGTGTTGAGTCGAAGTGTGGAGGTGCGACGCTGTTCAGGTTTCAAACGGAAGTCGTCCGTTCTGAGACCAGAGTGCGGCCGAGCATGTAAATGGTTAGGGACGTACTATTGAGTCCAGAACGGCCTTTGAATTCGACCACTGGAGTCCGTAGGACTTGTTGGCACGCGAAGGCACTTCAAAAGAGGAAGGCATTGTGTCAGAATCTGCATCAAGGCGACACTTGATGGAACATCCACACACAGAGGACGAACAAGTTGGGATTGGAAAGCTCGACACTGGCGTCAAGAAGAAGAGCTTGAAGCACCTCTTGAAGTCCCCGTCTCTGCAATCTTCTGACGAGCCCGCGGTACAGAACTCCTTACAGGCGCGCCAAGAGATCTTTTCGGGCTCCGGTCACAATGGCCGCCTTCCAATCATTCTCACGAAGGCGGAAAACGACACCCACACTATAGTAGTCTTTGGCGCTCCCCTAGCCTGCAAATTCCAAACGCTTCGACCCCGTTCTCTCCTTCACTTACCTCGTCAACGGCGTGTCGTACCCCTCCTGGCTGGCCTGCTGGATCTGCGCCTGGATCTTCCCGATCTCCGTCCTCATCCCGGTATGGACCACCACCCCAATCGCCGTGCCGTTACTGATCCCCGACCCCGCAAATACCATGCACTCCTTTCCTTGAAGCTCAATATCCTCTTGCGGAACCACGTGGGTGTCTTTCGACACTGGCTGGCTCTCGCCAGTGAGGCTGGACTGCTGGGCGCGCAGCGTGGCGGAGCGCAGCTCGACCAAGCGGATGTCGGCCGGGGCCTTGTCTCCGACCCGCAGCTCGACGAGATCCCCTGGGACGAGCTCGCGCGCCGGTAGGTCCGGGATCTGCAGGGCCCCGGGAAGAGGTCTCAGAGGACGGGCGAAGCAATTGTCTAAAAAGGGAGTATTCCGTTTGTATGTGTTTGAAAGCAGGGTGTCAGAACCGCACCTTCGTTATTGGATTCTGGTCATGCAGGGCCCTAATTCTGTGTAGAAGGCCCTCTGATCGATACTGACATCCTTTTTGTCGGAGTGGCACAACTTTGAACTTGAACAGTCAACAACAGGGCAGTAGCATATGGAAGAGCTACGGCTGGTTGATAACGGGGTTCCTTCCCTGTCACGCTTGCCCTTGATCTGCTTTCGCCAGAGGATTGTCCATTTGAGTGAACATTAACGGATCCGCAGAGGCTATCAAGGACCTTCTTGGGTAAAAGTCCAAGTCGCTGTGCAATTTCTCCTAAGCAAACACTGTCAGCAAAGAGAAGTCCCTGCGCAAGATTGTCACTCTCACCTCTTTTCCATCTCGCACGACCCGAGCTGTCTCGCTCTGCATCTCCTTGAGTGCCGCAAGCGTGCTCTCTGCCTTGCTCTCCTGCCACACCCCGATCACTGCGTTCAACACGATGATCAGCAAGATTACAAACGTCTCCAAAAAGTCCTCCGCACCGACCGGCTCCCCCGCCTCAGCAGCGTCCCACACCGCAAGCGCCCCCGACACTCCAGCCGCCCCCAGCAGGATCTTCACCAGTGCGTCATCAAACTGCTCCGCAACTAGTTGCCAGAACGGCGTTCCTGGCTCTTTCTCAAGCTCATTCCAGCCATAGGCGGAGCGGTACGTCTCGACCTGCCCGGTTGTCAGGCCACGTTTCAGGTCAACACAGAAGTGTTCCGCGCACTCGTCGACGGTGCGCGCCCAAGCAGGGAAATTGTCTGGAGGGACGGAGTTGGGGCTGCCATTTTCAGGAGGGACAGGTTGCGTTGAGGGAGGCGCAGTGGAGGGGACTGTGAGCTCTGGTTCGATGACCTGTGTGGGGCTGCTGGTTTGGTCCGGGCCACTGGCTGCTATTGCTGACCGCTGCACGAATGAGGAGGAAAGCAACCGCTCGGACTGGCACCAAAATCTAGAAAGTTGGTGATGGAATGAAAGAGCAAAGCATTTTATTTTCACCCCTGTTCCTGCTGGATATTCTATTCCTGTCTTCTCTGGTTTCTTGTGTCCCACACGCAACTAAAATCAAGAAAATGTTTGGCTACGATGATTCATTGATAACTCCAGCGACCGCAGGTCTGCCAACAGCTCTGGTCGGACTTGAGACTGTGCAATCACTTGACAATGCCCTTGATTCTTAAAGAAACGGAAGGGGCGTAGAATTTCAAGAATGTGCTGAAGACAGGTCACACTCACCTTCTTCAGAAGAAGCGGACCAGATCTTGGCCTTCCCACACCCTCCAAGCTAACACTTCCTGCTAGAAATCTTTTCTGCCCTATCCTTGAGGAGACATCATTGAGTTGCAAACCTGCACTGATTGAATGCTGCTTAGTTTCTGGTTTCCTCTGCCGCCATTGCTGCTGAGAGTAGCCCCCATTGTGAAAGCATTGAGCCCCCCTGAAGACATCAAAGAGCGAACATGTCGCTGACATTGCCATAGTCTCACCTTGCAACCGGAATTGATTCTGGTGAAAAGCTGGTGGAGAATGCTTGGGTCCCTAGAAACCTTGCATTACGATGAAACAACCCTTACACGGAAGCATTCTGGATTCAAGGCACGCCAAGTTAGGACATGCTCCCTATTAGTATGACCTCCCCGGGCCCTAGCTAGATGGGCAACAATGAGAGCTCCCCTTTGCTGGTCCAATTGTGAGAGTTTCTCAGATTCAGAAGATTCAGAAAGGTCTTCAGTCTCAGAATCGAAGCGAGCACAAGTGGCAACTCCTCTGTTCAGAGAGTGGCGCTACCTACATGCTTTGCACATCGACACTCCGATGGCGATGTAGGTTGAATCAACGGCTGCTATTGCTAAGTTGACGTTGACAAGTGGCTGTCATAGAGCCGTCCATGATATCAAGCGGACGGTGGATACAGCATTAGGACTACATAATATGATCATAAAGCGCATTACTTTACGTGCGCATTACAATTTTGCTGCCTCGGCCTAGTTGCACAATGGGGCGAAGGCTGCTAGAACTTGAAGTCTTGCAGCTAGTTCAAGTCTACCGACTCTACGCAGAGAAGGTGGCTGCAATTGTGCAGGGCGCGAGGAGGGCGCATTGGGGCGATTGCCAGCGTGACCTAGCGTTTGGTAATACTGGGATGGGCGAGTGGCTTCGAATGGTGTAAAAGATCCTGAGGGACAGATTGTACGAAGTTTTGCACCTGGCAAACAAGCGAGTAGGATAGCTCTTGAAAAATGGCTTCAACGGCATGCGCTGGGGCCGTGCAGGCTGTCCGCTGCTCGGTGAGGACTATGGACACAAGGCCTTGCCAGAGTGGGCAGAAGGGCCCAGCTTCAAGCTTTGTCCCTCGCCAGGTGAGGAGTGTCTGCATCTTCTGCTCTTTTGGCATTTAGGGTTGCCAAAGGAAAGCAGGAAAAGACGGGTTTGTCGCGCCGTGTACAATGGCTGTCACTGCAAGACTTTTCCGATCGTCCTTATTGTGATAGACACGGGCATTATCTTGAGCGTGTGACAAGCGTGTGACAAGCGTGTGACACATTTTCAGTGCTCACGAGCGTGTAAGCTCGTGAAGCCCCGCATTCTAAATTCCTGATGCATACGGTTGGCTACCTTTGGCCATCTACGGTAAGGATGACCTCCTCTAGCAAGAGTTCAAGCAACGTCAAGGGCTGATAAGGAACCTGCAGAGAACCTTTTGGTAATGGTGTGAACTATATCTGCAACGGGGTGTTAATTTGTACTTGCTGCGTGTTCAGCTGTCACAATGCTCATCAGAGATTGCTCAAGGGGTGGAAGCGCTGCAAAATCTGGATGCGAATGAGATGTACGGATAATCTTACCATCACCGATGGTATTTGAGCACTTTCTTGGGTTTTACGAGGGACGTATCCAGCACTTGAGCTTGGAAAATGCAGGCCCCATTGGGCAAGAGCATCCTTTGACCAAGTGCATGAGCATTGCTGTACGTTGATTTTCTTTTGCTCTCATGAAGACTCCGCCGATTTGAGACAATGCTTCTGAAGAAAGGTCGTTAAGACAAGGTCATGGAAACCCTCAATGATGACCACGATGACGAGACTGAGCTAAAGCTGGCTCCGGCTGCGGTCAGCCCTGGCATCGAGCGTTCTGCTCTGTGCTGGGATCCTGATGGTGGTTTGGGGCCAGCCACTGGTCGCAAGGCCGGTGGCGCAGATGTCAACCGAGGCATTTGTCTGAGAGGACGTTCCACAAGCATGAGAAGCCCCGATAGGAAGTGGTGTGCTGGACTTAGCAGCTTGCAGAGCGTGTTATTCAACACCATCTGCAATAAGCTGTTGAGTGACAAAAGTTGTCCCTGAAGTGAAGGGATTTTCTCCAATTTTTGCATCTGGATTGTGCACATTTGATGGGGACTCTGTGCAGAGTATCATATCCTTCTGAGGAGGTATTAGGCCTCAAGTTTTGTTTACTTTTTGTTCTTGCAAACTCGATGAAGAAGCACCAGATTAAAATCATCGTAGGGTGCCTGACATACAAGCAACACATTGATTCAAGCAACTAGTGTAGAGGGTAAGCAGAGGCACGGGGCTGCCTAAAGCATCCGAACCGTACGCATAAACTTCACCACCCTGAAGGCTCTTCTTTGCCGAACCGTACGCATAAATGTCACCACTCTGAAGGCTCTTCTTTGCACTTTCATTGCACTAACAGCTTCTGCAACGCACCTCACCAGAATACCCCCAGAAGAACGAGCCCAATCCAACCTTGTCTGCAGTTGGTGAGGCCTTCTTGCACCGCAAATGTCCTGAGGAGCGCAGCAAAGCTCCCCTCTCGGCGGCAGTTGCCTCGGGTCGCCGGCCCAGTGCGGGCCGTTGCAGAAGTTGCCGAGGATGAGGACGCAGTGAGGTCGGTTGCGGACGAGTTGGCAGGGGACGAGGAGTGGGTTGGCGAGATCCCCACGATGTTCCCGGTGAGTGGCTTGCTTCGTAGGCCTGTCGTATTCAAGCTTGATTGGTGTGGATCAAGGCAATGCCGTGGGAAGGGGGAACGAGACACACTTTTGTTTGTGATGCCAGCTTTGAAGCACAACATCACTGCCATATTGGCAGATCCTTGCGGAATCTGGTGTGTGTTGTCTTTGGACGACTGTAAAGAACGTCCCTGATCATCATCCTGGACACTGTTCGCCAGCAAAACATCGAGCAATGGTGGTGCTTATCCGTTTCTTGTCGCTGTCTCGGTCAGTGGTTTGCCGCTTCCTCTTCGTAAATCTTACCCCAAACCTGTCATTGAGCAACGTATTCTGATTTCAGGAGACGGACGGGAAGCGGCCCCGCCAGCCCCGGAAGAACGAGCAGAAGATTAAGATCAAGCTGCGCTCGTACTGGGTGCCCCGTATTGAGGAGGCAACCAACCAGATCATGGAGGCCGCTAAGAGCACCGAGACCAAGGCCGCGGGACCCATCCGGTTGCCAACGCGGCGTCGGCGGTGGACGGTGTTGACGTCACCTCACGTCAACAAGGATGCACGGGAGCAGTTTGAGCTGCGGACGCACAGACGGCTTATAGAGCTGATCAACCCGACCGCACAGGCCGTTGACGCGCTCATGCAGTTAAACCTGCCGGCAGGGGTCGACGTTCAGGTTAAGTTGTCATAGAAGAAGTTTCGGAAGGACGGGCTCTTGGGCGGACTTTGGATGTGATCATTGATATTGAATACAAGTGACCCTGCTGATGATGGTGATTGCGTCAGCAAGTGGTTTCGTGAATCAGGTTTATCCAAGAAGGTGTGCTTCAAAACTTGAATTGAGCTGTGCTTCATGGAGAATCTGTTGCAAGGGGTTTGGCGCTGCGACTCCATGCAGTGTGGCCGACTTTGCAATCGGCAGTGGATTGGACTCGGCCCATGCAACTCCATATATAAGCTGATTACCACTTCCTACAGTAGGTGGCACATGCAAGCGTATCATGTCAGCGGGTTGACAGCTGTATGCATGCATGTGTAGTCGATCAGGTGTGTTGGGCCATTTGCACGTCCACTGAACGTATTAAATTGCTTCTATATAATACCATGTCACTTCAAAAGTGTGAACTGTACACGCGCTAGCTTCAGAAGGCCACTGAGCCACATGCAGGCACACGGAAGCACATAGCAGTGCATACGTCTGCTGCCAGCAAATCTCAATCAGTCATGCTGGTGGGTCGATCGTACAAATATTGTATGCTGCGGTGAATTCGATTACTGTATATACTCAGTGAATTGGACCAAGATGGCGCGTCAACGGCAGTGTGTTGCACGACTTCAAGTTGACAAGTTGTTATGTGTGATTATACCCCACAAGAAAGTCTGCCAAGTATACCTAGCAACGGTTGATGAGCAACGCCTCCGTCCTCAAGATCCTATCAGCAACGTGAGATGATAACCTACTTTCTGCCTTGCAAAACGTCCATGCGCTCATGACTTGCAGGAGTTCTACGTTGATATCCTACTTTTATCAATGTACTTAAGAAGAGACCTTGCAGACCTTGGTCACTGAAAATCACATCTTGCCTGACGCCTTCTTCTCCCAGATGGCCAGACGCTCCTTGCCCTGCAAAAGATCAGCACGGGAATCTTCGTAAACATCATTCCTCTCCCGGAGCTTTAACCATTCATTATCTGTTTCCAACCTAGGAACAGCAACGCAGGCGGCGCTGTTTGCAGAAGTGGTCAGCACGTGTTCCTCAGAAGTTATCCATCACGTGGTATGCTTCTGGAGCAACGGACGCATGAGCAACTAGAACGACAAACGGTTGATGTCTCGAGCTCGCGACGACAAGCGGCTCCTACGTACCCGGGCCGCCTGATCCGTGTTCGTTCTAGGTTCAGAGCCTGGCCGCATCTGGGCCGTCCTTAAGTTGCATCACAGTCGTCGAACGGCCTGGATTGAAAGTTGAATTTGCTTTCGTCTCACCTGTCTCCCTCGTACGCTGTTTGTCACCTCCTCTTCGCGGGTCAACACGAAGCCAGCGGGCACCAGCATTTTCTTATAACTGCAGGACAACCAAAACCTAGTGAAAACAATCCAGTGAAAACAATCCAGTGCAGGATTTGCGGAAAAAGCAGCCAAACAATAAAGTCTCGTCACATCTCGCAGGGCTCGAGAAGGTTTGGGAGGACCGCCGATGGTAAAGTCACACGTACGCCTTGACGAGAGAACGATGGACTCCTTTTTTCGTCTTGCTTGAGGAGACTTGCAATCGTCCCTGCCTTTTGAGTTTCCCCGATCTTGCCAGGCAATGTGCGGAAGAGGAACGGACCAATCAAACTGCGGTTCAGAACGCTTGCGTGAAGTGCGGCTTGCGGCTTACATATCCATGTTAACAGCGAAGGGGGGCCCTCCTGAGTGGTCGTCAATCTGCAGCAAAGAGTCAAAAATTAGGCCGAGGCAAGGCAGGCCGGTTCTAGCCGGGTCTAGCCGATTCTGTCGTACTTGTAAACCGACGTTGTTTGCGGTCCAAAACACTCACAAGTAAAAGTCTTTGCAGATCGTCATCAGAGAGATAAGGTTCAACTGAGGCAGCACCACTGATATGTTGGAGCAGAGCAGAGCAGCACACAAATATCGGCAGCAGCACATGACGAAAAGAGAAGCAGGGGCAAATTAGCGAGATTCGCCAGCGGATGCATAGTGTCTGTCTTCCATCAGCACTCAGCACTCAGAGGGGACTGAAAGACGGGAGGTTGTTCAGGATCTTGAGATAGGTATCGTTGCGGCGAAAGAGCGAGCTTACACTAAACCCTCCCGTGTAGATAAGAATGTAACAAGTTTGCAGTGACTGAACCAACCCCAGGCCCACCCCAACCACAGCCGTCCCCGTGCATGGCTTTGTACGCAAATGCTACACTTTTGTTAATTGAGGACTTTCAGCGTCAGCAGACTCACCGGAAAGACGAGCGTAATTAGCTGACCCGCCGGCGCGAGGAGCTGCGCCATGCGTTGCGCCCAGGCCTGGCGGAGGTCAGGCTCCAAGGCGCAAAAGAAGCTGTGACATAAACAGAGGAGGGGGTTCAGACTCGGGCAACAGATGAGGAAATCTATCAGAGATATAGAGTCCTGGACGGTTCGAAAGCACGGGGAAGGGGGACGTTTGCGGAATCGTTCGGGAGGACTTTCGGGCGGGGTTTTAAGAAGGGCCGCAAGTAGGAAGGGCGGCGAATAGATGATGGTATCCTCAATCAATAGGGAGATGGAATTAAGGGCGAACATCAATGCGGTGACTTTGAACATCGAACGCGTGGCCTGTGGATCGAAAGGCAAAGACGGCATCCGAAAGGCATGATGAGGTGACTTCCAAAAGTACTCACGTCAACGTATCGATTCAAGCAATGTTATCGAGATCGGGCTCCACCACTACCGGGATGAAATAATCTGCTGGTTGGTAAACGTGCGTGCCCAAGGAGATACGATTGACAATCTAAACCTCAACGTCGAATCCGGTGTCACAAACTCTGCACACCGCGACTCAAGCGAAAGAATCTAGGGTCATTCTTCAGAAGCGAAAAACAAACGATGCTCGACCCAGCCAGACGTTTCAGAGAATGCTTTCCCTCACGTGTAATCGAAGATGACGTCAAATGGCGCTTCCGGCTCCCACGTGAAGAAGTCCGCAACAACAAACTCTGCCTGCGATGCAGGAACCTGCTGGGCCTCTTGGTGCCGCTTTGCTTTCTCATTCGCAGTGCGGGAGATGTCGAGACCGACCACGTGACGCTCGGGGCTCGCTAGCGCCAGAACGTCGTAGCCCTGCGGTTTTGGGAGAGCAAGCAAAGCTCAGTGGTGACTACATCCTCGTCGAGAACTATTTAGGCTTTGGCCATTCGCTTTCACCAGATGACGTTCTGGCCCAGCAAGCGCCAGGATATGCAGATTGTGATGGGAAAATTTTCATCGTTCTAAAAGGACCTGATACGGGGGGATCCCCCTACATGACCCAGCACATCTACACAGATATCAAATGCAAAAACAACAGTCGGGTGGCTGCCCGGTGGACTTCAACAACCTCACACGTTTTAACCGAAGGCGATTGAGGGATAGAGATTTCGAAGCGGAACTGTCAACAATGGAACCATCGGCAGGGACCAACGGTGATGTCTGTCGGGCTTATTTATACCTACTGACATATGAAAGCCTTGTCCTGGATCTACAGCATCAGGAACAAGCTTGCAATCAAGTTTCATATCATACATAACCAGATTTCCAGCTGGTTCCTCCAAACTTGACGATCGTTCTAAGCTTCCCATTCCCAAGTTCACGCCACCCTTGCCCTCGCCCAATCCCCATAAGTGGAACAAATGAAAGCCCATTCGACATTGCCCAACCATGCCAAAGCGAAAGAACAAAAGACCATTCTCAAATCGACAAGACAAAGCAAGCGACTCACCGAACCGCAGCCTGGTACAAGCGCGCGCCCGGTGGGCACCTCTCCCTTGGCGATCATCTGCGCCAGCACGGGCGTGACATCACCCATGTCCCAGGGCGTTGTCCCCGCCTGCCACGATTTCTCCCACCCGCTCCCTGCACCAGATAGCCATACCCTTTAGCACAATCGACAAAGCAGAATCTCCTCGTAAACGGACACTTGAACCTCAACAAACATCATGACATGCTCCGCATCTCAGACCACCCTAACCCCCAAACTAGCTCAATCTGGCCTCTCGAGTGCCTCGACGCTGTAAGACCTTATCACTGGTACAAAGTTCTTGTATCTGTACCAGGGGCTGGGGTCAAGTTTCGACCGGCCAGGCCTGCCAAGCGGGCAGCCAAGAGAAGAACTAGAATGGAGCCAACGGCTGCGGACGCTGTCACCCAGCTGGCGCCATGGGCGCCTGCAGAAGCAAAGAAGAGAGGAAACCAGGAAAGGAAAGGGGGAAGAAAATGTCAAGGAAACTGGAAGGTGCTTGGTGGCCTGGATTAGAGTACGGGTCACGGAGAGGCGCGAAGCATTTACTCCAAGCGATGGTTGCATTGAGAAGCTTTTGTTGACAAACAGCACACAAGCTTGTGTGGGGGCTCATTTGGCTATGCAACTGCTAGTCCTTGAATCCCTTCATATCAATGCTGCCAGAATCTGCCTTACAAGCGCTTCACAGGCTGTTTTAGCCCCAATGGGCTTGCTCATACAAACAGAGCCATGCCTTTGTCTAACGTTTATCAAGCAACCAACTTTAGTGCGTGTACGGAGGCACTTCGAGTATATAAAAGCCAAAAGATGGATGAACTGTGATTGAGCACGCAATTCACATTTTTGCTGAAAGCACACCTGGGTCCGTCTTCTCGTTTGTCCCGATGAATTCCCGCAGCTTTGCCACTGCGTCTTTCACGCCAGAACTGGGAGCAAGGGCGGCATCTTGGGAGGCACCCATGTTATCAGCACTTGCTGTAAAGGGTCGTCCACTTGTTGGAGGCTTGGACAGCACCTGATGTGATCTGTTTGCAAGCCTTGTCTCTGTGGAGATTGGTCTGTGTCCAATCCTGGGTTGAGCTGAGCAACGGAAGAGCGGGTCGAATTGGCTTTGGATCAACAGAGAAGGCCTGTTGCAGTTGAACAGTTCAGAAGAATGTACGCTGTAGAAGTGAGTAACTTCAAGGGCCATGCACAGAATGGCAGGGTTGATGAGCGAGTGCTGCGACAATGCGCGGCACCTAGCGTAAAGAGATGGAAGTGACCTCCAATTTGCGCTCACTGTCGAGGCTGCTCTGGCGCTGCTTTTCAAAGCTGGACCGGCGAGGAATGCGAGCTTGAATGACATCAAAGGCAACAATCAACGACTAATATAATCTCTCTGGAATTGCCTTGGAAACATGAATGGCTGCAATTACACTACTCTGAGTAGTGTGTAACCAACGGTGCTGGATGCATAGGTCATCTTCTTCTCAAATGCAGCACTGTTGAGAACTTTCGTTACAATGCCGCATACCGGCCAATTGATATGATTCAGTGACGCGCAAGCTTCTAAGACGAAAGCTTGGAAGCTTGGAACTTGGAAGAAAGTCTTTCACTGTCAGGACATTCCTGGACGCGTCACTCTTCAAAAGAGGCCCCCGCCATGGCTGCCGCCGTGCCGTCGTCATGCCAGGTCGGAAGACGTCACACCTCTGTCCGGAAGATTCACCCGGGAGGAATATGATTGGCTGAAGCAATTGACCATGTGGACCACGTGCTTCAAAAGCTCCTGCGTGCTGCCACGCGGCCCCACGTCAGACGCTAATGGTGTCAAGCTGTCAGGTTTTCGCGGGAAAGTGCAGGGAGCATTACCAAGCTGGCACGGTCGAATACGCACTTTTAGCTTACAGTACGAGCCCCAGAACCGAATTGGGTCCAGAAGTGGATCGGGCCGAGCTAGAAGTGGATTGGTTTATTTGTTATCCTGTTCCAGTCTACGCCGATCGCCGATCCATCAAGTTTTCTTGCTCTTTTTGGCCAAAATCGAAGGTTTTCAGGGCTGCAAGGACCTCCTCGGATCCAAATCAAAATGCGACTGCTGCCTTCGATGGGGTTCAGTAAGACAGGATATGTGCAGAAAACCGCTTCTGAAATGGTCCATATTTGCCCCAGCATTGCACATAAGCGCTCAGAAATTAAGGTGAGCCGGTATAGGGTCTCGTACGGTAATAGTAATGTATTACTATATTACATATTATATTATTATATTACTATATGTATTACCTAGTACTGTTAAGCTAAAAGTGCGTATTGTACAGTCAAGTTTACTTCTCGGCTTCAGACTCTTCTTTCCCTTTCTCTCTCCTCTCCCTGTTCGCCATGCCCAATGCCGATTTTGTAGAAACCGATTGCATAAGCCAGGGTGGTTTCTGGGCATTGCGCCTGCAAGCACATGGATTGACTGTATTGTGATTACTTCTTTCATTTTTCAGGACTTGGTGATCCGTCTTTCTTGAGATAAGATAAATAAAGCTTAGAGCACGTTATAGCTTCGGAAAAGGGGCAAGCAACGATGTGGAACCCAAGAGATGATCCGCAGGGGCGGCGCAACTCTCCCATCTTCAAAATGATGAACCCGGAGCTCCATATGAAGCCAAACATGATGGTGCGGCATTGACTGCTTCCAGAATTTTCATATGGGTCTCCTATTTGGTCGCAGCTTTTCACATTTCCCTCAGAGCCCTGCGCCAAATCTACTCATTTCGCCAGAGGACTGCACTACTGTTGGTTGTAGAGGAATGAGCAATCCCCTATGTGTACCCAACTTGCAATACTCCTGCGCTGTTTGGATACTTGTTGTGATTGGACATGTGGCGGAAGTGCTCGAGTGCTTCATCGTCCTCATTATGTTCCTCAGTTGCTATCTCGTATTTGGCACCACTTTCAGTTGAACTTACCTACTTCTACATTAATCGGACCTCAGATTTTGGAGACGGAAAAACTTGAGATTAATGCACAATCTGATTACTCCAGCGTTTCTAAGCTTTGTTTGCAGGTTGCTGCCGTCGGCACCACTTTATTCGTGGTCATCATGGGGTCCCTCCTGTGGGAAAAGCACAAGTACGAGCAGCAGCAGGCAAAGCTCCGGCAGTCGGCGGTCGAACGGGTTATCAAAGAAGAGTAGCGCTACGACCATTTGTGACACTCATGGTAGCAGCATAGGGAGGCATAGGAAGCGCCGATAGATTTTTCAAAGTTCAAGTCGCAAGGGCAGTGTCCACAGCGCATTGCCAACCCGCGGGGACTTTAGTTCGCCATAATGCTGCAAGTAGAGCGGGGTAATCAAGGGTTGCGAGAGCTCCGAATCACTGAAAAGTAGTACATTGGGCCTGGAAGATGCCAATTTCAGCAGGGCACGGTAGCATTGGGTTACATTGGAGCAGGAGATGTGCGCTGCTAGCCTGGCTTTTGGCTGCGTCGTCTTACAGCCATGCTTGGGAGGAGTGCGCTGATGCAGGGGCAAGTGAGTGATTTGCAAGTGGTATGAGGTTGCCACGGACGCTTCAAATCGGTTTATGCCCTCTTGGTGTCACCATTTTGGACAAAACGAGCCTCTGCGAAGTTTTCATCCGGTTTGCGCTTTTCCTAGCATTGCTTTGCTAGGTTTCAAACCTTTTTCTATGAGGCTTCATTTTTACGCGCCCCGCCTCATACTACTATTCATCAGAACATTGTATACAGCACTGCAAAGCATTTCTTTCTCCCCGCTATGTACTTTCCCCCATGCTGGAGTTGACCGTCAAGTCCCAGTTGAAACATCTGATCGAGTCTCTCACTGTACCCCTTCTTTACAGCGCCCCACGTTCAGAAGTTGGGGGAGATGCCTCAGCACAACTACGGGCGGCCCGGCCTCTCGCACATGACGATATGGGGGGCGAAGCATCACAGCATGAAAGAGGTGTGCCTCACTATTATGGTTGTTTTGGGTCTAGCCCTGCCGATCGACAGGTACATGAAACGAGAAGTTTTAATAGCAGGAAATGGACCAGCCAGGCCAAGAGATGGACAGCCAAGCTGAGAAATCTACATGCAATCCGGGACTTAGTGGCTTTCCGTATTTAAAATTGTTTTCCAACACGAGTCCAGAGCTGACGCAAACCTGCTCCAGATTGTGCGGGCACAAAGTCTTACCTTAGGGCAGCTTGCAGAATACTGCGTTTGTTCCGGTCAGACCATTCATTATCTTTGCCCCCCAGACTTTTCCTGGATAAGCGTCTAGAGGGTATTGTCAGGGATGGGCGGACGGCTGACTATAAATTAACGCTAGCATGGGTGCTCTAACGATCACCTTCAGACCCATGGCGACACTACTCCGCCCTCAAACCCATGGCGTCAACCATTCTATGGCCTTAACCTAAGATGTTCACCCCTCGGCGCAGTTGGAAGTCTGGCTGCAAACTTTTGCACCCGGGTCGGGAACGCCCATCCATCGCCACGACTGCGAGGAAGTCTTTATCGTCCAGGCAGGCGAAGCCGCGTACCTTCGTGCGGAGGTAGACGGGGAAAAGGAGAGCGGTAGGCCGGGGCCGCGGGTTGGGAGCCGGGCGGCCGCCAACAGTACCTTTCGGATCCCCCTCAATGCGGTTCATCAGGTGGGTACCAGAGCTTATATGTGGGCTCCTCGCGCTTTTATTGCGGATCCCGTGCTTTGCTTCCGATCAGAGGGAAGGCGTCCACTCGAAAAGTTGCTCAGGTTTCTGGTTTTCGGAGGGAGACGGTGAGCTTTTGGTTGCTGGGCACCACAAGTGCAGCGACTCCGTTGGTATCGTCCACGGAATGCCGAGTCTGCAAAGCCTGAATTGGGACAACCGATTGTTCGAGCTTCTTCTGTTAAGAAACTGCATCTAAGAAACGCTGAAGAACCGCTGGTTTTCAATCCACCTAGCGAAGCTCGTGTCAAGCCACCCCGCTTGTTCCCAACCGTTTAGAAGTCTTTCCATCATCGAAACTCCAGCAACTCCATCCCCAAAGGTATGGCGATTGCTATTGTGAATCGCTTTGAACCATCAAAAGCAAACCACTCCAGTGACACGAGAACCGTTGAAAGCGACGCTTATTTCTGTCTGTTTCACTTCTCAGGAGTTTTGGACAATGTATGAAGCCAGGTTGCACATGAGTTGACTGAAAATTCCAGATTCCCCGAAATTATTCATGATCTGGCCAAGGCTAATTCAACTCATGTTCTGCAGGTGCGGAATCTGCATCCGACTGAGGCTTTGACGGTGCTTGTCATCATATCCAAGCCGCCCATCAGAGTGTGAGTGCTTCAGAATCTTCAGTGGTTGAAGTGCTTGCATAAAACTGTGTTCTCTTGGCTTCGCGCCGTCGACTAGGCGCTTGAAAGCCTATGCATGGAGCACGGTCGCCCGAACGATTGCCGAGTTGGACAGCAGAAAGGGGCCTTCGGCTGCGAATCTGCACAGGGCTGTAGTGCAGCGCTCGTTTGAAGAATGTTCACGTTAGTATGGGACCGAACTACGTTCGTGCCTTCTGCAAAAGCAGGCCAGCCTGACGTCACCTTTTTTTCCTTGTTTGCAGGTACATCTACGATACGTGGGACACCCCTCATGACGCGGCGACCCTGAGTTTTCCGTACCCCTGGGATACAGTCTGTCCGGAAGATCTGAGAACGCAAGAACAGCTAGACACCAGGGAACTCTGATTGTCTGTGAACGCGCAAGTAGAGAGTTGACTTTTTGCTTAAAACTGGTCTGGTCCGTGAATGACTAGGATGCAAGCGACTGCACGCAAATTTGCGACTGCCCACGCACTTTGCTTGTCAAATGCTTGCTCTTAGTATTCGCTCGCACCTTTGGAAATATCCTTATGCATGCCGCTCATGCACGAAAAATATCTTGTGGAATCGGAATGGGAACTTGCGCGTAGGCTATGGGGTATGGACAAATGATGCCGTGGCGTCCTCGCGCATATGCCACACTGGCTCGTATATCCACAAATCCGGATCAAAATGCTTAAACAACCCGCGGTTGTTGCGTATATATATTACGCATGGCGTGGTCCGCATCTGTTAGCTTGCGTCCAGCTTTGATTATACGCGGTCCGGTTGAGTGCAACGATCATGACCTTAGAGCACCTGCGTCCGACCACTTACGGTTGATCGAGTGAGATGGCTGTCGTTTCAAAGAGCACGTACAGGCCCAAAGGATAAAGGATGAGGCTCCTTGGACTGCTAATTTCAACAGTCCTCTAGTACTCTGCTCCCGCCTGGCCAGTTCGCGAGGCGATCAGGAGCCGAGTCAACTGCTGAAGCTCCTCCATCTCCTCCTGCATCGTCTGCAACCGGCAACGCGTCGCGTCCTGCAAGAAGACAACGGGTTGTCAAGACGACGGACGACCTTACTGCACAATCAGAGCAGAATATTCTGTTTCGGTTGTCAGGTCAGAATCGAACCATACTGCTACCGTCCTGTTGGAGAGCCAGTGTGCGCAGCGCAAACGTCTGGAGAGCAACTCGTACGCGAGTTCTACCAGCAGAGACGAGCTTCAGGGCGAACTTCTGGAAAAGGCTGTCAATATAGGAGACAGCAGGTCAGGCGTTAAATGTAGCCGTTGGGATCTCTGCGACATGGATTCAACGTCAGCGACAATGAAGAGAGGTGCTTGCTCTGCTCGGTCAAGCTACGATCATCGTGTTCTTCATGCGCCTCACGAGCGATTTCTTGAGCATTGCCACTCAATCGCTGTAACTTCGTAAATCTGAGGTCTCCAAGTGCTGTAACTGTCGTAAATCTGAGGTCTCAAAGTTCCGAATGACGCGCTGTCAGAGATTGAGCTGTTCCGACGGTTTCCTCAAAAGATGAGATGATTCATGGTTCGAGCCCACAAATCATGAAGAAGTGCCGAACCTGCTCAACGCTTCTCGGCAAGCACTACGGTGACTCTGGTTCATCGTCTCTTTTGAGTGGCTTCCCGGATCGGGAAAAGCGCCCACGTCCATCCTGGACTCAGTTTCTGAGTCAAGATAGTCTGGGCTTCTGAAGGGCACTCAGAACTGTGTTCTCACATGTATCCTCTTAAGCCGCTCGTTTTCCGCCTGAGCCTCGCGCAGCTCGTGCGCTCGCGAGGGCATCCCGTCCGCCAGCTTGCGGTGCGCGATCGCCTCCTGCCGCATCTGCAAAAGATGCGCAGGACGAAGCCCTTGTCAAGACTGAGCCCTGTCATTAAGCGCACACCTTCGTTGAGATTTCCAAGTGATTGAGCGTGGTTGAAAGCAGTAACGTGGTTTATACAAGGAACGAGGTCTGCTAGGAGAACTCTTGATTAGGGTTGAAGAGTATGCCCTTCAACCAATTAGGCGCACACCATTCAAGATTGCGATTCAGCCTGGTTCCAAGAAGCAACTTCTCTTCATATACAGAGTCAGTTTTATGTCGTTCCAGGCAATAGTGCCCCAGATCCGTTTGCTTTTACTGCCGCTGATTATGCATTTGGCACGCTTGGACAACTCCTCCTTTGTAAGATGTGGCATGCACGAGGATGCTCTGGTCAGAATTCCTTAGAACACAAGTCTCATGTCAAGCATGATCCTGTTTCAGAAATGATACAAGTCCATCTTCTGTCCCTCGCAGATTCTTTTAACACCAGTATCAAAGCGCTAAAATAGGACAGAGACATCTGCATTTTGAACAGAGGTGAGAGCCAAATCCAATCTGAGTTTCAAAAGGACAACGCGGTTGATCTTTTCAGCTCTCATGCGCACAACGGTCTTCAATCTGCGACCGTGCCTGAGATCCATTGAAAGGTGTAAGGGAACAGAGAGGCAAGCTACGGAGACCCAGCTCCGCTGCAAAAGGTTCCTCTTTGTATCATCCTGTGCTTCGCGCCTCAGAGAGCTGTACGCGCACCTGACCAACTGCTGCGGCACACAGCTTGAGATTCTGCTGCACGGAGATTGCCAGCGACAAGTCCTTCGGCATGCTGGCTTCTCCTTCCGCGGGCGCTACATCTGAGGACCCCATGCTTTGGCGCCCCTTCTGCGTTGAGAGCGACAAGAATAACAACCGGTACGTGTTCAGGGCTGAGAAGAGCAAGTGCGCTGCTGTTTTCTCTAGGGTTCCGCTGTGAGCAGCAACAAGCATGTGGAGCAAAACGATCTCTGGCCCCGCGGTCGAACCTTCTTTATGTCACCAGGAGCGAGACTTTAGCTGAATTCAGCATTCAGCGGTAGCGGGCTACCTAGCGGAGGTGCCCAGTAATGTCTAGAGTCGAAGTCTGTGAGTCGTCGTATAGTCTCACAGGCGCGACCCACATCCGTAAGCGATGTCAATCACCGGAACGTCAATACTCAAAGTGCTGCGCGCCTGTTGATCAGGGCGTAATCATCAAGTGCGCCTGTGTGTGCTTCGAAGAACGAAAGGCCATCAACGCACTGAATCATCCCGGCCTTCGCGAACGTAGATCGCCAGGCATGAGGAGCTGGGTTGCTATATCACAAGGTGTACGCAGAGCCTGACCAGATATTTGCCCAGGTGTATATGTATTCGATGAGTACTTTATCGCAGGTGGTCCCGCTCATATCGCATTGCAACAGCATGATATTGCAACGTGCTGGTCGGGGTATAGCTGTTAGAACAGCTTTTTATCTGCATGCAATATCGAATCAACATTGTGCATGATCGCTGCAGGATTTTAGGTTTGCATGAATATAATGGTGGTGCAAACGCTTGAAAAGCTTGCCGACATGCACCTTGTCCATGACGAAACTCGTTTCGGAGAGCTCGCATATAGCTTCTAGCTTGATCGAAGTGAATCAGGACCGTGCGGTCAAATGCACAGGATAAATAGATGCGGCGTTCATCTCGAACACAATCATTCGACAGATGTAACGCTTCTAAGCGGCGGCGCCCTCATCCAAATTTAAGGCAGTCGACAAGTGAAGCTGGCACTGCAATCCACCTCATGTCTGCAATAAGGCGCAGCTTCGCAGGACGAGCCGAAAGTGAGGTACATCAGGAGGAAATCGCGAGCCACTGGAATCAAGGCAGTCCATCGAGCTGCCACACAGACACAATGATCATTCTCGTGCATTCAACATCCGGCATCTACACGCACAAACACCAGGTGGAGTTTCGGGTTCAACAAGGCGGTGCCACTTTAGCGCAAAGCAGCTCTGTTCCAGAAACACCCTACCTACGTGGACGAGTTACAAGAGATATTCTTCGTATCTTTGGACTCATACACCATTCCCGAACAGCGCGTTCGAACATGTATCAGAGAGCTCTAGCAACGGTCTACAAGACGGCGACGGCCAGGAAGCTTCGTTTGCTGGAGTTGCTCCGCGTCTTCACAACTTGCCACCCCGCCTCGGGCGTATACCGCTCCACCTGTGGCAAGAAGAACGGACAAATTGATCAAATGCAAGCAGTGCATCGCCACAAATGGTTATCCGCCTTGAAAATGAATCAAACGGCTTCCGAAAAATCTCGGAAAACGGCGTAAAGAGTGAGTGACAGCAAAGAGCGGCGCCAGGCGGCACGCAGACAGGAACAAAGCTTCTGTGGCACAAACGGCAGAACAAAAATTTGGTTTGTAGTCCACACCAGCAAGTCGAAAGAACCGACCAAAAGACCGTTGGTGAGGATGTGTACCCGGAGAAGCATGTGGAACGTAATTAGCGGCGAGCGCTTACCGAATCCACGTGCAGTGCTCCGTCGAGGCCGCCGATGAAGTAGAGCGCGTTGTCGACGACCATCGACGCGCCGTAGGCACGCTGCGTGTGCATAGGAGGGACCTGAAGGAGCGAAAAGGAGTGGCGACTGGTGTCAGCACCGGTCGGAAGCCTCCAGTTCTTGCAACAAGTGAGTGGGCCAGCCTAGTGCCAAGACTCGAACGGTTTAAAGAAGTTCCTATAGATTCGCTGCGATTTCCTTAACGGTTATTGAAATACCTTACAAGGAACCACTAGGTCGAAGATGGAAGCTCCTCAAAGATCCACCCTCCCTCCGACACGAAGTTCTGTTGTCAAGCAGTCTCCCCTCCTTCCGTCTATGACTACCCACACGAGTACAGGAGCTGCTTCCCGGACGTCTGCTTTAGGATCAGCCAATCGCCTCTCAGCATCAGCCAATATTATCGTAACAGTCAATTGGAAGAAGTGGACCCAGAAGTCGAGTCGTCAAGTCCGTAAGCATCCAGTTTCGCGACATGAAACCGCTGGGCACTCTTTTGAATCAATGAGAAAGCGAACGGATCCTCTTTAAAAAGCAAACAGAAAAGAGACGGACGATGAAGCGGGAAGCTAGTCCCGGGGACAGATTGATGTTGAACGAAGAGGACACACCATGTAATCAAGAGGGCTGTCAAAGCTTCGGCTGCCTACCGCCAGTGCATCGAAAGAACTAATCTGATCTGAGTCGTCTCCCTCGACGTTGTAAAGACAATATACCCTTGGCCACTCACCAGCTTCCACTTGTTCATGCGCGGCTCGTACGTCTCCACAGTATTCAAGAACACGTTCCCGTCGAAGCCTCCCAAGGCGAACCTGTCGAAGACAGCAACCAGATCCGCTGAGTGAACCGCTCAAAAGTCCACACTAAGTGATCACTTCTGGCGATCGCATGACGAAACGCAACAACGAAACTTGAACCAATTCTGCTCCAGAAAAGAGCAGAGAGAGGACCACCAGGAGCACCAGCACCCGGAAAGTTTGTCAGGCGTCAGTTCGTGGAAACCTCGCAATTGCAGCAGAAAGAGGGAGCGCGCAGCTTACAGGCTGTTGTTGTACACTGCAGCGGACAGGCTCCCCCGCTTGGTCGACATGGACGGAGCGCGCACCCAGTAGCCCTCGCGAGGATCGAACCGCTCCATGGTCCTGCGAAGAGGATAGTAAACGTTGAAAGACGTGCTTACACGAGAAACATTAAAATACTCGACGTCTCAGGAATATAGCCGCTCGAGGGTGGAGGGTTGTGAACGAAGATTAATACAACCGAACATGCGAAGCAATCAAGTAGCCAGCGTAACACAGCGCGTCAAAAATGATCAAGCTTAGTACTAAGGAGGTCTTTCCTACGCAGCTAGCCTAGAAAGTGTCTCACACAGACAACGGCCAAAACTGTTCGGAATTACTCAAGTAGAACAATGGCTGCGGCGCAGGACTCGGCACGCGGGAGACAGCTAAGGCGGCCACGAAACTGACAGAAACGAGGCGCTAAGATTGTACAATCGGATTTACGAGCACAAGCTGCAGGCGCCTTACGGGAGGTATTGCTGCCCGTCGAAGCCTCCGAGCGCGTACAGCGAGTTGTGCATCTCCGCGGCCGCCACACAGAAGCGCTGCAAGCAGACCGTGCAACCACGTCACTTGGATATGCAATGCGACACACGCAAAATGGTAGAGATTATAAGGCAGACTGTCCGTTCATGTTCACGAACATCCGGCAAAAGGGTAGCTCTTCGTGCTCTCCAGATGTCACCCTCGAGGCGGATGCAGTAGAAGAGTAACTTGAAAAAGCCGGGGAGGAAAGACTCGGTCTTATGGAACCAGTAGTAGCTACCGTCCACGGCATCTACACGCCTGCAACGATTCCCCAAGCTCAGCTCCCGATTGAACGGGCACTGAGAACAGTGGGAGGCTTTTCAAAAGCCCACGTTCTCCTTTCCCAGAACAGTGGGTCGAATAGAAACTGTCGACCGTGAATCGAAGGGGCGCTGAGCAAGGGGGAGGGCTTCCGAGCCCACGTTCTCCTCTTCGCAACCAGCACTCTTCGGAAACGCAAAAGCGACCGCTGGTCACGCACCTTGTCGAGCATGGGGGGCGCGGAGAGCCACTTGTCAGCGCCGGGGTCGTACATTTCCACGTCAGCAAAGTTGTTGACACCGTTGCCCCCCCCGACAGCGTAGATCTTGCCCTGCACGGCGGCGCCCCCAAGGCTGCCCCGCTTGATCTTCATCTTCGAGAGGGTCGCCCACGAGTTGCTGGCACGGTCGTACCGTTCAACTGCAGTGGAGCAGCACATTAAGATCCGCGAATCTGGTAACCGGGTCTTGGTGGGTTTGAAGAGAAAGATTACCAGCTTGAACGGTGCCAGAGAGGGTATGAATCGCTGCAATTGTAGCGGAGTTTGCAGGCTCACACGAAACACTGGGCGATGAGAGGTGCTCTCAAAAAGTAACGTGTATCTCAAAACCGTTAATTTTGAGATGGAAAGTTTGGGGTCTGCTTGACGTAGAGACAGTGAATGGGGTCCTTGAAGCGGCGCAGCAACTTCGATTTTTGGAACAATCTCAGCTTCCCTTCGGGATCGTACTTTCATTCTGAGTATACGCATCTCACTTCGCCAGACGACGGTACTCTCTTTCCGCTTTGCCGAAACAAAAGCAAGAAACCCCCTATTCCATATGCTGCACTTCGCAACAAGGCCCAAAAGAAGTCCTCCGACCCTCACCCGTGTCGTACCACAGCTGGCCCTCCCCGCCTCCGAACACGTACACCATCCCGTCGAGCACCGCCGACGCCGCGTACGAGCGCTTCGCGGACATCGGCGCGACCACCTCCCACTCGTCCCGGGACGGCCGGTAACGGTCCACCGAACCCAACCACTCCGTGCCGTTGAAACCGCCCATGAGATACACCTCCTGCGGGCGCGGGCGCACGGGGGACGGCGCGGGGCTGCCTGCCACGTGGCCGCCGGAGAGGAGGTCCACGACGCTCTGCCGCAGGGTGTCCATCTGCGCCTGGAGCTCGTCCATTCGCCGCTGCATGACCGTCTGCGCCAGGCGGAGAAGCGGATAAGGATGTGAGTTCTCGCGGCGGTGCGAGGTGCGCATGTCAGAACAGAGACTTTCGACTGTCCGTTTCCAAGGATGACCTCGACGGTGATGAGCTGGTCAACGAACAAAGAGGACTGGTCAGGCAAGAAGACCAGTTAAGATCAGTGCTCATCGCCGCCTTCGAACAGCCGCGAAGTTTAGTCAGATCAATCAAATTGAAGCGGTCATGGAACGCCCAACCCACAGATTCGCAGGTTTCGCATCCTTCCGAAGCTCCGATCCGAGTCTTAAGGTAAACCGCACCCCAGGTGGCTTACCTGCGACCGCGCCAACCGCTGGTTCTCCGCTCGGACCTCCTTCAGCTCTTGCATCTGCGCGTCACCTGACGTCATCTCCTCCGCCAGCTTCTTGCTCTTCAGCGCCTCCTGCCGCATCTGCACCACAGTACCAGGTTCACTCAGAGAATCATCGGATACAATTTTTAAGAAAGTGGTGATACGGTATGCTGTTGAGAACAGGGCAGCGGCTTTGATCAACCTGTTCTTATTCTAAACAAGTCAAAGAATCTCCACAAATCGATACACCTTTTATGAAGGCTCTACGACGCCCTGAGGGTACTGATCAGCAGAACCGGACTCCCACACAGCAGTCATCCGGTCAGCACGTTCACTCGTAGCCTGAATGCTACGACTACAAGAAGGACTATAACCGGCCCCACAAAGACCTCTCGTCTCTTCCTAAGCGCACTCGAAACAAGTAGAAAGTCAACGGGAGATTCAATCTACCAACCCCTCCGCCATTACTCACATGACTGATGGCCGCCGCGCACAGCTCCAGGTTCTTCTGCACCGTCTCCTTGACCGCCACCTCGAGCGGCCGGCTCCCGTCGAACAGCCGCATGCGCTCCTCCTTCAGCTGTGCCTGCTCCGTTTCCGCGCGCGCATTCGCCTCGCGCTCCCATTCCGCGCTCTTCGGTCCGTTCACACCGCTCGAAGAGCTCGGCTCGGAGGCGCCGTTCGCCGAGGGCCCGTTCACACTGACCTTCTTGAGCTTCTCCAGGACCTGGCGCTCCCGCTCCGCGCGCTCCTCGGCCCGGCGCCGCTCGACCGCGGCCTCCTCCAGCCTCCGACGCTCTGTAAAAATCGACAAATAAAGATGGGTAATCAAATGTTTTCTACAATCGGCACAAGCACGAATCGATAATAGCTCGCCGCTCAGGCACCGTCGTTTCGAGAGGATTGGCGGACTTTCACCGAACGGCTTGAAAAGGACAACATGAAAACGCGAGGACCCAACAGGTCCAGGTTTTGATCGCAGATGACGCCTTTGAAAAAAGGTCCTGTCTCATTCTGCATGTCGTTTCTCCAACTACGAAATTGCAATCCAGCATCCCCGTTGCCGACTCTTCAGAACAGATGCACGAGCAAAGAAGACCTGCAAAGCAGGTATTCGGTCTGTTTTCCACGCAGAGCACGAGCGCCTGCTTATCGGACTCATATTTGCTGCAGCAAGGTAGAAGTCCAGTAGGAACACAATAACCCCGTTCACAGCAGTGAACTGAAACTACCTCCTTTGTGAATGTTTGAATGGTACATCTCAGCCTCAGGATCCGTGAAATTGATCCTGTCAACAACGAGATTCGCTAGTACTCTTCCGCTGAACGGTAGCAGATGCCACCGCACACTCCCCCCTCACCTTCTTCCTCCGCCGCTGCCGCCCGCATCTTCGCCTCCGCCCGCGCCTGCCGTTCCGCCGCCGCCCGCGCCTCCTCCTCCCTCACCCGCGCCGCCTCCCGGTCCCGCTCGCTCTGCTGCCGCCGCCGTTCCGCTTCCGCTGCAGCGCCCCCGTCGGCTGGCAGCCCGCTCGACGTTGATGCGCTGCTCCCCCCGTTGCTCGACGGCCCCGCCGGCCCGCTTTGCCACGCCGGCAGGGGGGGCTTGGATGACGATGCTGTGTCAGGTCGGCTGGGCGGGGGCGCTGCGCCCCAGGCGTTCGCGGGGGGCCCGGTTCCCCAGGCGCTGTCGCCCTGGCCGGAAGCGCCGGCCCAGGCGGCGGCGTGGCCGGAGGCAACGGTTTGCTGCAGGCGGAGGACAGGAGAAAAACCGGTAAGACCTCGGCCTCCTGCTGCTTGTGATTGTCCACGAGACGCCGTCAAAGTTGCTTAACACCATGAGACTCAAGAGGGAACCTTTCACATGAAGCAGGATTCCACGCTGCAGACCTGGCAAACGCGAGAGATCGAATATTAGCCGATTCAAGATCGGAAGCACAGGCGAGACAGAACACTCGAGCCAAAGTGGAGAACAGATTAGGGGAATCATGGCGTTAGCAGCGACGAGAAGAACTAGCCGAACCTGGGGGACGGGCGCGGTGGCGGGGCGGGAGGGGTTGCGCGCGGTGAAGAGGGAGCAGAGGGTGGCGGCCTGGTCCTGCGTGAGCTCGAACATGAAGTGCACGTTGCTGTAGTAGTTCTCCTCGATGACGGGGCCAAAGACGGCCTCATGCAGCGGCTGAGACTTCTCCCGGTACCTCACGCGCACCTATTGGAAGGATAAAGTTGAACGATTGAGAGATTCTTAGAGATTGCCCAAAGGACATGGGGTGTTCCATTACTTCCTGTGTGCCCTTGAGTGTGGGGCCAGTGTGTCTGGTCAGGCTTGCTGCTTTGTGTAATTGCGCCGCTGATGGAGAAAGACACGGCGTAAAGGTAGACTCAGTTTGACCATTAGGGAAGACCTTGGTAGGCATCTGACAAAGAGTGATGGAAAGCAACGAACTCTAGTGGGAGGCACAAGAAGGTGTTGGTCCGGAGACAAGTCTTAACCATCATCAGGGGATTCACCACAAAGCGCCCCTTGCTTTTGCCCAACTCGTTAAGACCCCAATTAGTAGGGCCTTGTCTGTTGAAGGCGAACTTCTTCTGCGAGGCAGATTTACTTTGTCGTCCTGACTCAAGAATCAGTCTTTTAGTGAGATGTGGGCTGGCCTTTTGGCTCTTTGGGAGTGAAACCAAAGTTAGACCGATTCGCTAGGGTCAGTGCTGGCGAACAAGGAGACCGCGCTGCCTAATGTGCACGGGAGCAGGTATGGGCATCGACGGAGGAGAGGAGGACACGTGTCCCCCAGGTTCCACGTGTCGCGCGGGCGGGCAAACATCCGCCCACGACCGGGCCAATGATGGATCCCAGGCCCCAGGCAAGCAGGAGGATCGCAGAGGAGGGACCCACCGCTCGAGTGCCGACTTATCCTCAATTGTTCGACTTTCAGAAGCACAAAGTCGCTTTTAAGGTACTCGAGACTCAACCTTCGACATCCTGAATCCATCAACTTGCTCATGGCACCAACATGAACTTTCCGACATGCAATAGCTCGCTCCTTGCAAGTAGGAAAGCGGTCCAGTATTATAAGTGTCAACACAAAGTTCCTTGGCATGCCTGGCGCCCTAAACAATAATTTCTCAAGTGGAGTCAAATAAGCTCGTAGAAGACAGTGTTTGAACAAGATCTTCGCCTGCGCAGGATAGCTCGTCTCGGTCTTGCCATCCCGGCTCCAGGCGTTGGGGTCGATGTGCAGCTCCCCCTCAGAGGTGGCCTCAAAGATGCCGTGCAGCTTGCGGTCAGAATAATTGAAGAGGAAGAGGGGCATGCCGGGAACAATGTTCTGGACATAGCTGATGTGGTTGTACGGCAGCCCTGGATAGAGAAGAAGAGCGTCTGAGGTGGTCAAGAATCTGTTAAGATGGGGAAAGGATTAAAAGACTGGGGAAAGGCACAAAATGTGAGAAATGATGAGGAAAGTACAGGCCAGTACAGATGAGGAGCTCACAGAACGAACATTGACGCTGCAGATCTGCTTGGTGCGTGCTTCCGAAGTCCTCTGGACCATGGGAGCTCTGCCAAAGCTTGGAATACAGTCAAGGGCTTCAAATTTCCTCGGCCATTGATACATCAAGCATGTATTACATACATCCAACAAATCTCGAAATGGTTTACATCAAGCAATCTTCAAATCAGGTTATTTTTGTCAGCACTGAACGAGCAGATTGTTCACCGCCAGAAGGCATAAGAGCCACATAACATGACACATGTGCAAATTGGGTTGTATCTCAATGCAGCAGCCCTTGATCTTGACTGCCAAAGAACCTTGCGACCCATTGTGAAGCTTGTACAACTTTGAAAAGGTTTATTGACATTGGGTATGTTAAAAGTTCAGCTTTGTCCAGCGGCACAAGCAACCAGCAACTCACAATTGGTCACACAATCCAACTCCTATGAAGCAAGCAGGCAATCCTGCTCAACACCTAGGCGTTTCCGAGCAGCAATGAGCTCAAGAAAGCGTTGGTCGTGCAGTACCCGGAAGCCCATTGTCTATGGGACCCTTTCTTGTCAAAATGGTGAATTGAGAACTGAAGCAGGTGAAAACTTCCGTCAATCGAAAACTCAGGGGTTTCTTCGTGCAACAAGAGAATGCCTTTCAACCATTGCCAAGGCAACTGCCGTTGATTTGCAATATCCCAAGCAACAAAACATTTTCTGTCTGGTGTGAACCTAGATAACACACAGATGGAAGGACACACGAACTTGATTGGCCTCTCCACCACCTTTTTGTAAGCAAACTTGCGCATTCGTATGCAACAGATGCAGGCCTAGAAGCCTCTGTCCTTTCCAGACTACGCCACTGTTCACCATCTATAAACATAAGAGAGAGCTACACTTGACAATACCTTAGAAGCTGAGAGTTCAACTCACCGAAGATGTTTTTTGTCAGGCACTCATTGATGGTGTCCTTCGTCGCCCCAAAGATGACCCCTCCCAGCTCATCTTTGTCCAGCTTCTTGTACTGCGGAGGAGGGCCCCGGCCCCCTTGGCGATTTGCTGAATCATATGTTGTGGTCTGCGTCTTTCTGCCAGCCCCCATTGTGCCTAGAAGCTTCCCACACACAACCTATAAGATACGCGTACACCTGCTTGTCAACCATGCGCAGTTCAGCATTCGAGGAAGCAAAAACCCAATGCCAGCTCGAAGCTAATCACCGTGCTCAACAACGTCACACAGGTCTGAGAAGATCCGCCATTGGCATGATGCACCCCTCCCGCCAAATGCAGTGCAGCCCACTGCAGCGCCAGCCTGACTGTGAGCGTGGCGTCCAAAAACTTGCACGGTCTGTCGCAATATATTATTTCAAGTATACGATTCTAGTATGGTTACAACTTACAAGTATCCTGATGCAAGTTAACAACACCTTAATTCTAGGACTCGGTAGATCATAAGGTTGCCCGGTGTACTGACCCGGCCGTTACTGACAGTAACTTAATATCCTTACATATAGGTACCTACCAGTATTACCAACCGTTGGGAACCGGAGGTTCGCGTACTCCGGTCACCGGTGTCTCTTTGTCACGAATAACCATGTATTAAACCGATAGCTCAACCATACTTTAATTCATACTAGACTTCTAGATAAATCCTACCAAAGTCTGCCTACCGTATATCTCATGCGAGAACTTGTTGTTAATAAGGTGCGCGCAGCCAGCGCGCACAGCGCTTGCACAGCGTCCTAACACACACACACAAGTCTTAGTAATAGCTCATGCAGGATGATATGCTGGATCAGAAGTGCGAGAGCAGCAGCAGGGGAAGGATCAAAACAGGCGGACTCCAATCAAGGGTCGGTAGGGAGCTGCAGGCTATTTGAGGGCTCCCATCCATCTCATCAGTAGGTCTGCAAAAGTGTGGGCCCCCATCAGAGCAGCACAAAGGCCGTTACAGAAGCACAGAGGCCGTTGCAAACCCTAATAGCAGGTGAACAAAGAGTTTGGGGGCAGCTGAAGCAGCCAGAATGGTGCGGATTGACCCTTTCATGGCTCCCTCCTTCTTGCAATACTTTGCCAGATCAATTGCACGATTGCCCTCATTGTATATCTTGATTGCTTGTTTGCTTTGAACGCATCTAAATTACAAAACAAATGCCATGTGATTGTTTCCCAGGGCTAAAGTGAAAGTAGGGAGGCACTGTGATTGTTGACTCGGTGTTCTTTTTCCAGATTCGGTTCCTTTTACTTCAGAACCGCCAGGGTAAGACCAGGCTGGCAAAATACTATGTGCCCCTGGAGACCGAGGAGAAGCACAAGCTGGAGTTTGAGGTCAGTGTCTTGCAGCAACTGTCACTGTCTGTAAAAAAGAAGTAAGTGCTTCCTGTCACAATGGAGCCAAGCAGTTTGTGAATCGAGCCTTCAAGAAGTCTGCTTCTCCAGAACCAAAAGGCAAAGTATGAGGAATTCAGTGTGGGCGATCGCTGCAGGAACTTCAAAAGCTTTGTACGCGAACCAGGGCTCTGACAAGCACGCCACACAAGGAATTGTTGATGGCTGTTGAATTTAAGAGTGGGTTATCTTCCGGTGATCTTTTCGAAGCAGCTAAGGGCATGGAGGTTGAGAGATTCTCTGTTTACCTGCAGGTTCATAGGCTGGTTGTAAACAGGGACCCAAAGCACACCAACTTTCTGGAGGCAAGTCTCCTTATCCCTTGTTTTTGATCAAGCATTGGGAACTTATGCGTCAGCACCAGCTGGTTGTTTGTTATGATGGTGGTGAGTGGCAGGTTCTTGAGAAGGAGAGCATAAGTCGTCAAGATTTTTTCAGGGGGCACTTACTTGCACGGCCCTAGCTGAGCATCTTTCATTATCAGAAGTACACTGTTTCAAATCTGTTCTCTCCAGGACTGTCCTGGGGCACTGCATGGGCGGCCAATGTCATTGTCTTCTTCTGGTGCAAGGCGTCCTCCTACATGAATTTGGGTTGTGTTTTGAGGTTGACTTCCTTTAGCAGTTTCCATTTGGCACCCCCCCATGCTCTGGGGATGATGGTGGAGTTGCCTTTGCCTGGTTTCTTTCATGGTCGCTGATCCTGGCTGGGAAAATACTAGAGCGAGAGGCACCACGAGCTTCTGGATTTCTTTGCCATTGTGTTAGTCCTTGAGATCATCTATTGGTGCTGTTTCCAGTCTGTAGTTCAGGACCCCATAGTCCTTGTGGAGGGGCCATCCATCCCCTCTTCACAACTTAGGGCAGAAGGGGACCACGTTGGTCCTTGGTTTTGTGTCGTCGCATTGAGTGCTGTCACAGAGTTTCGCACTACATCACGCAGTTTCGGACGCACAAGGTGATCTACCGGCGGTATGCGGGCCTGTTCTTCTCAATGTGCGTGGACGTGACGGACAACGAGCTGGCGTATCTGGAGAGCATACATCTGTTTGTCGAGATTCTGGACCACTTCTTCAGCAACGTCTGCGAGCTGGACCTTGTCTTCAACTTCCACAAGGTACACCAAAGCATTGCAGCTCTTGTACTTTTTTGGTCCTTGCCTCATTCGGACGTTTGATTGGGATGTCTCTCGTGATCCTTAGCCCTTGAAAAGGTTCTTCTCGCGTATCTTGAACTTGAGAAGCTGAAGCTGGAAGGCCTTTGCCTTCGAGCATGGTCCACACAGTCCACTGCTTTACGACAAAAGTTTATTGGAGGGAAGCCAACAGGCGAGAAGGTTAATGAGTGCTCTACTTAATACGTGCTTTTTAAACTGCTTGTGGCTGCTGAAAAGGCATACACGGAGGCAGAAATGAAGGCTGGAACAGCTTGGAAAAGAGACCACGAAGCTCGACCCCTCTAGGTCGTGCAACTTTATCCACAAAATCTGCCATGCTTTCGGTTGGGGCGCGGTACGAAAGCCAACAGCGAATGCACGCGGTCCGCTGCGAGGGTGACGTAGACGACCAACAAACGTCGAATCGTGTACTCTGGTGGTATATTGGCCATTGAGGATGACAAGACCAGGGGGGTCTCGTATTCAAATTTCTTTGGCGATGCCTTAACAAACATTTTCCAGATGTTGTTCTGTTGGTCTCGAATGAACGGTGAACGAGTTCACGCTGAGCGATGAGGATTGCCTCCTTGCTGATGCGATCTCAGTTGATCTGTGAAGCTCGACTGCTGTCCGATTGCAGGTGTATTTGATTCTGGACGAATTTGTTCTGGCGGGCGAGCTGCAAGAAACAAGTAAAAAGGTGACAGTCACCCTTGATCCCTTTTGTTGTATCGATCTTGTAGCCTTAGGTCTCCCAATTTGGAGAGCGGCGCTCCCATCTGCTGAATTGTCATACCTATGTCAATGTGTAAGTATGTCCAGGTTGAGCGGCTCACAGTCAGCTGTCCTCCGTAGATTGTCCTGCAGCCTTGAGTGGTTTTTAGGCCATGGTTTTTTGAGGTTCAGCTCTGCTCCTTTCAGGGATATGCATTTGTTTGGATCAAACCTCTCTTTCTGACGTCTGCTTTGGCGATTTGAGACGAGTCCCTTTTCAATGCAGGCAATTATCGAGCGGATGGCCGAGATTGACAAAATGGACTAAAGGAGGACTGCATAGTTTTTAATCCCCTCCTACTGACATGCACGTTCTGCATAGATTCCGTCCGCACGGCACTAAATGTTGATCCGTGTGTTTGATGAGCTCGAGCTACAGGCCTTCTCTTTGGATGTTCAGCATACCAGTACTTGCTGAGGCTGAAGCACGCCTCAGGCCTGCAGTTGTTCATTGCATCGTCATCGTCAATCAGCCAAGACAAAGATGTCCTCAGTTATAGCTCAAAACATGTGCATCGTATGGGGTTCAAGCCGACCTAGCCTTCGCAATTATTGAGCTAGGTGATGTGTGAGCCGGTACTCGAGAGGCGGACGTTGAAGAGCTCAGCTAATGTGTAGATGCATCGCTTGTGCGATTCAATAAACGAAGGTTTAGTCGGACTTGAATGAGACTCATCTTTATCGTGTTCTGGCAGATAAGGCGAGCTCATCCCAACCTCTTGCATATATTTACTTATGCAACGCAAGAGGTCGATTGGATATCTAGCCATGTTATGCATGTACCTTCAAAGACTCCGTCATAGGTACTGAGGCCCGCAGCACTTTGAGCTGCAGCGCTTGAACATCGATCATCATAAGGCAGATGTTATCTGCTGTAGTGGCCCGTGCCCTTTGCAAAAGCAAGAGACGGCTATACGACAGATGGTGTGAGAGAGCACGTGTTAGCTCGGTCAGATTTATAAGGACTTATGGGTCCCCTGTTGCTATCAAACACGACATTGACAGCGACTTTTCAAACCGGTCATAAACTAACTACATAGCCCAGCTTCGTTCAATCAGGCCTGAGCAGTTTCGCTCTCATGCGGCTTCGAAATCTCCATCCTCGTGCATGCCTTGACGAAGCGCGGAGGCAGAGCAAGTTCAAACTTCCCGACGGTCGATCATGGATAGGAACACCTGTCAATCAGCCACCTAGGCCTGTACGGATCGGAAGTTGCAACACATAGAGGGGGACGTAAGCGCGTACGCGGGAACTACTGTGCCTGAAGCGTATTTGTTAAGGTATTGGTGGGTATTGGTACCGAAAAAGCTTAGCTAAGACTCTTGTTCAAAACGGTACCCTCTGATTTGACAGCTGCAAGGAACCCGAGTCCTGATCAAAAAACATCCTCGACTCTTGCCCGAAACGCAATTTTCTGTTTCATCACAAGCTACTCACGTCACGGCTGCTTCGCTTTAGACTTGCAAAAGCATATTTGAAGAAGGCTTGCGTCTGCAGTAGAGAAGGCTTGCGTCTGCAGCGAAAGCCCGTGAAAGCGATGCAGTGAAGGAAAAGTGAGAGCGAGATCTGTAGGAGGAAGCTTGAAGTGGCTTGTGAAGAGCGGCAGAAATCGGAAGGACGTTGCAAAAGCAGAATGGGAAGCCAACTTAGAAGCCATGTCCTGGTGGTGACGTCAAAGATGGCTTCATCAGCAAAACCATCGTCAAAGGAAGTAAAAGGCCAGCGAGATGCGTTTTGCCAGGATCCTGGAAAGCGCAGGAATCATGGAGCCGGACTCCTGCGGCTTGTTAAACGACATACTCAAATCAGCAACTTCCGTTGATGCAAATAAAAGGGCGATTGCGATCAACCGCCTCAGAGAATGCCTCCTATTCTGCCGGAACGACGATCACGCTTTGAAGAACCGCGTCGCCTACTCGCTGGAACACGGAATTATAAAGGAAATCGCTTTGGGCATGAGAGAAGTAGCTGCAGGGAAGTGGGCATGTACTGCACCTGAGAAAGACATTTCTTTCAGCTCCACAACAAAGAAAAAGAACACGATCAACAAAGCCAAAATCTATGCTGACTGCTTAGCTTTCCTCGCCCGGGATGCCCGCTGCGTGGCCTTCATTCTCAGGGAGTTTCCAGACATAGAGACCGTTTTCAGAGCTCTGTTTTTTGCAAATCCAGCCGGTTTAGGGCATCGCTCCCCAGGATTCAAGAAGGATACGAGGATGGCAGTGCTGAGATTATTTGGAGCATTCGTCCCCTGGTCCCAGGGCTGCCTTGGTAGACTCGCAGAAGATACTAAATTCCTGAAGGAGGTGCTGCAATTTGCTCTCAGTATCAGAGACGAGGTTGAAATAGCAGAAATTGAGGCATCCTTTACTTCCCTCTTGATCATCAGCAACGCCGTGCAGACTACGAGAGCGGATTTGAGTGCTTTGAGAAGCACTAGTCTTTACGAGCTTGTGGAGCACGCCATGGCTGACTCCAAGACTAAGAAGCAGATAGTGCTCGCAGCCAGGATCCTATTTCTGACCTTTGACATAGACCCGGATCACAAATTTCTCTCAGAATACCCTTCCATCTGGTCAACCCTCCTCGCATTGGCTACCTGTGGTCGAGAAATAGAAGAGTGGATCCGCTGTCAAGCCTTCTTCATGGTGCTCCGATGCTTGAAGCAGGTGAAAGAGTTTGAGTACGACCCGGAAGCGCCCGCGGTGGACGTGATATACAGCCTCTTCAAAGCTGACGAGGCTGCAGTACGCAGGGCGGTCCAGCTGCGCAGGATGTTCTCAGCGCTGTCCGAGGATGTCTGCGGCTTCAAGTACGTCGAGGAGCCGAAGAAGAAGCAGACCGCAGGGCTGAGAGACACATCAGAGGCTGCCAAGGGGCACCCATGGTGCTCAAACTTGTTGCTGAGGCCACGACTGGAAAGTCGAAAGTGCTCTGAAGCGAGTTGTCGCAACGTTGAGTCGGAAGGGGGAACGTTCCAGGTTTGTTCAAAGTGCAGGATCGCCGTCTACTGCAGCAAAGGTGAGAGGGTTGGCACAATGCGTCAACTCATGCAACGCTTTCAAGATTCTCTGCAAGCGCTCGAGTAAGCATGTGATCGGTGCTGGTCTCAGATCACTTGGGACTGTTGGATGCAACGCTAATCGAAGAAGTTATTTGAATCGAGTTTTAACCATCTGCCATTGATTTGAGACAAACTTGAATCTGTAAACAATTCGAAGTCCGAAATTCTCACGTCCATGATCAATCACGACTATACTAAGACTCTCTGCTTGTGCCGCCTAAGGTCGAACAAATGAAACCCCTCCGTCTGCACCGAAATAGCACCTGAAAAGAGCAAACGATGCATTCGAACTTTGATTTTCACTTGCAGATTGTCAGAGGCGGGCATGGAGAGAAAGCCACAGAGAGCTATGCCACTGAAACGGCATCCCTGGACGCAGGTAACCTGTCCTGTTGAATCATTCAAGGTCTTTCATGATCTTTGAAAAGCTGAAGTTGACGTCTCATTCAACGGGAGCCCAATCAAAAGCCTTTTGGTCGGAGCTGATTTCCGTCTCTGGTGACGGTCGATCTTATATTCCTTCTTTGGCAGCTTACTACTTGATCGCTTCCCTCTATAGAGGTTGAGCCTCCCATACGAAGCCTTGCCTTTCAAGCTTTCTGATTGCATCTCATTATTCTGACGTGGCACTGAGAAAGGAACAGTCTCTACAAACAGAGACGCCAATACCAATGTATCAAAGAGTTTCGACGTGCTTTCTCGAATATTCGGGATCATCCTGTCACCAAAACAACGTGTTCCATGTGAAGTGCTTTGCTTCGTTGTACCGGCCACAATTTGTGCTGATTAGGTTCTGTTGTCTTTGCAGGAAGCAGAATTCGTGTTGTCAGTTGCCAGCTCATGCAAAGGATCGCATTATGTAGCAGAAGAGAGCCTATGCATGCGCACTGAGCATATATAAGCGGCCTCTGGAAGCGACGCATGCAATTAGATAGTCTGTTCTTGCTTGATTATGAAAACCAACGGCAGTGACCGCGCGGTTGCAGCTTTCTCTTTGCATCATAGTACACGCATGACTCGGATCCAATCTGCATCCGCCACAAGCCCATCAATCTACAGGCCATGATGTCGATCAATTGCACGGTCCCGATGGTTTCCAGAGCGTAACGTTCATCGGATATCCATGCGCACAGGCCCATCACCATTGTGATCGTTTAGGTGTCTGACTGACCAGCCCATTTGGACGTCCAAGATGTTGTCAGGGTAGCATAGTGTGCTGTCGGTCGGGCGGCGCATTTTCATCGATGAGCTGAACAACGCTACGCGTAATACTTTGATGTGCTAAGATGCTTCTGACTTGGAGCACGCTAGCCTTTTGATCCCGAACATCTGCATTGATTGACCTCAAGCAACCAAGACGAAGAGAGCGCCCTTGCACAAGGATGGCAAGCGTATACAATAATTAGAGTGCGCCAGTCCTGATGCGTACTCCTTTGGGTTGCTGACGACAGGGCAGCTTCAGCTTGGGTCTACGAAAAGTAGCCATCATTAGAAAAATGCTAATTTGTCTCTGTATGGAACTCGAAGTGCAGCTCACGTCAAGTTGACGTTAGTAGTCCTTAGACCCACGATCTCTGCAGTGATATTCCGCTCTGCTTGATTCTGCAAAGCCTCTTTCAATGCATCCGTCCTGAAAAGATTGCCGCTGTCTAGAAACGACCGCAACACTGCCGTCCGCCCTTGTCTGTACTGCTCCTCCGGGACATGCCGGTACTCCTGCAAAAGCGCCCCACTTAAATCCTTCAGGCTTCTGTTCACCGCCACTTTCGGCCAGAGCGGTGAGTATCAGCAAACCTCACAACGTCCAGATGTGAAGTCTTGTGGGAAACTCAGTGGATTGCAAGTACGACTCTGCCAAAAGGCGTCGACTTCATTCGACTTCTTCAGTAAGCCTTCTGACCGAAGCACTTGAACGATCTTGGACGCTTTATTCCATAAACGAAGCGTGAACGTTCTATTAAGCGTAGTCCTCCGCCCCCATACGACAACATTCAGACTCATACTCGCACAATGGGGAGGGCTGAAATGACTCTCACCTTCCAAATGTTGTCCGCGTATCTTATGTACGCCCCCTCCTCCGCTCCCAGCACCGCCAGGTCAAAGTCCAGGAACCAGGCCTTGTCCCCGGCGGCGTCGCCCGCCAGGTGACTCGCGGTAGCTAGGATAAAGTCCTCCACTTTGTCGACCAACTCCTGAGCAAGGCCCGCCTCGCGCGCGAACTCCAGGAAGAGCGCCGCGCTGTCGGCCTCGTTGCCGCCCTTGCGCGCGCACCGCGGGTCGTAGATGACGTCATGGAAGAAGATGGCCAGGTGGACGGCGGGCAGGTCGGCAAGGAAGTGGGCGTACCTGGAGGGATGAAAGAACTAGAGTGGGAGTCGAGGGCTGCAGTGTCGAAAGCTCAGCGGCGGCTGAAATTTGAAAAGAAAAAGGTCCGCTCCGGCAGCCTGAAGAGGGCGTCGAAGAAAGAGCTTTGCCGCGACTGACAGGTAGCAGGAGCAGCGCCGCTGTGATTGCGGGAACGGGTACGTAACACCGAAAACAGCGACTACCAGAGTGGTGTGCACACTTCCTTTACGCCGAAGGGGCCTGGTGACGGACGCGTCTTTACTGGGGGTAGAACCTGGTCGAGCCGAAAGGTACAACGGGAACGATCTGGCTGGAATTAGCAGCAGAATTTCTTTGGTCGTTCAGTTCGATGTTCCAGGTCCGCATTCTTAAGTTTGCTTTACTGAAGGGTGACGAGACAAAAGATAGGTCCCTCTGGCTGAATCAAGTGCGCACGTACTGGCAACTGTGACGTCCGTGGCGCTCTCAGCATGATGCGTCCTGATAGTCTGTTTCTAGACTAGCACGGCACCTTCCTACCCCGGACACCCCTTTTGCCCGTCATGTAAGCTTCCTCAGTCGGGGCTTCAACGGTCGACCCCTGAGCCAGCTGCCGTACACTCAAAACAGGTTCACCCGTTCGCCTTCACAAAGCGGACTAGAGGCTCTACTCACGTGTGACACAGGCGGTAGAGCTCTCGCACGTGCTCCATGGTGTGGTAGAACCTGCCTTCCTCCGAGTACTTCTCCCGGACTACCGCCCACCATTTCTCCGCCACGCTCGGCCCGACTTCTAGCCGGTCCATCAGCCCCGACCACCGGGCCCACATGGGCGCATTCACACTTCCGGAGCTCTGCCCCGCCGGGGAGGTGTGAAAGCGCTCCCCGAGGAGTCGCCACGCGAGATCTAGCTGGCGAGCGGTGTCTTCAATGGAGCCAGTGTTGCTGATTGCCACGTCAGCACGGGAGACGCGGGCGGCGGAGCTCATCTGCGGGCACGTGGCTTCGAGCGTCAGTTGTCGAGAAAAGAAAAAGGATGGAGAGCGATACAAGGTCCCCAACAACGTACCAAGGTTTTACCCCGAAGTCGAGAGCTCGAAGATTGACGAAGCGCACAAGCCGGAGAGAACATCAAATACTGGAGAGGAGTGTTGCGTGGCGGTATCTAGGCTCTGCAATCCTGACGCGGCTGCAGCCAACATCCGAGCGACTGAGAAAGCGAAGAGCTTCGAGCGATGCATCAACCGCTGATTTCGCTGTTTGCTCAAAATCAATGTCATGGATTCTGACCATCTCTAAAACCTGCCTTCCAAACCCATTACAAGGAAGACAATCGGCTTTCAATTGCGCAGACCCCCCAGCGCCCACCTGCGAGTCCAGCCGCTTGTCCGCCTCCTCCCCGCTCAGCCGGTTTCTCGCCATCAGCCGCTCCCGCGCCACCCCCCGGGGCACGAACACCACCCACACCTCGTCCATCTGCGTCTCAAACCCGGACTCCAAGATGAGCGCGGCTTCTGCGACGCAGAGTTGGACCCCGCGCTCCGCCATCTCCTCGCGCTTCTCGGCGACGAGTCGCCGCACCGCGGGCCACACGATGGATGTGAGCCGTGTCATCTGGGCGGGGTCGCCGAAGACGATGGCTCCAAGGGCCGGACGGTTGATCGTGCCGTCTGCGAAAAGAAGGGGGAAAAGGCGACTTTGTGAGCCGTCTTACTCGGGCGGGTTCGCCAAAAACAGTGGCTCTGAGGGCGGAGCGGTAGATCGTGCCGTCTGCTAAATCAAAGTTGTTGACCGCATGGTGGGGTTGGTTCGAGTGAGGGATTGGCGACAGAGAAGATTTTAGAGGAGGCTTTGCAACGGAGAGAGCTCTACGTCTTGCTGAGAGTATCTGAAGCGCACGTATGTAGGGAAAAGTTGAGGCGCTGCGGTTTGCTGACGTAGACTGCTGAGCATGTTCCAAGGCGAGGTCGACCGATGGGCAGGTATGTGCAGCCTGGCGGACGACAAGTTGGAGTGCATTGATGGAGTGACCGTTGGCAACCTTCATTTCGCTTAAGTAACTAGAGATTTTTGTGTTTCTGCTAAACAAAAACTGCACCGAGTTTGACAAGAGATTGCCATTGGTCTTCGCTGTTACTGGCAATTCGTTGAACCCTTTCGACCTACTTGACAGCCGCGACTCCTCAGCCCTCACCTTCTCTTACAACCCCTTCCCCAAACGCCCGAGCAATTTCGCTGTATGACGGGGTCCCCGGCAGGTACGACAGGTGCCCGAGCGCGTCACAGTCAATTGTTTCCGTAACAAGGCCCCCCTTCCGCATGTCCTCTATCATTTGCCGGACGGATGACTTCCCGCTGGCGATGCCACCTGTCAGACCGATCATGTATGGGTGGGCGGCCGCCAGCCGGGCCTTGTGGGAAAGGCGGGGGCCACGGACGAAGTACGGCCTGCAGGTAAAAGGCCCCACGTAGGTTCATTCGAAGAGGTCAGTAGCAGCAGAACGCATTTGTCGATTTGGTAATTTGCCGAAAGATTCAGGGTCTCCACTGTCCCGCCCTTCCGGGTGACTGTGCCTTACGACAGAACGTAGAGACCAGTAGTCAGATAAAGTGCAACGTTGGAGGACAGGTAGCCATCTGTTGAGATTGTTGCAGCTGCAGCTGTCACAATTGGACCCATAAGGCATCTGAACATGTTGACGTTTGAACAACGAGCCTTTCACAGAAGGCCCCAAGAACTGCCTCCCATCTTTTAGAAAAGGTTGATTGCTATGAACATCGGGACGCAGATCATCAGGAGAAGATGACAACGTCTGGAAAAAGTTCGAGGGCAATGAGCTGGGTCGAACTGCCAATCTTGTTTGGCAAAGTTCAGGCGACCAGCCAACCACCAAGGCCAATCACCTGTCCGTCAACAACCGTCCCAGGTCCCTCTCCCGCATCTCCGTCGAGCTGAGCTTCCCATACGCCGAGCCCTCTGCCACCAGGTTCACTGCCACGACTTCTAAACCCCTCAGACCTTTTTGCCGCCGCACCTCGTTGATTGCCGTCGCAGCGGCCTCGGTTTCTCTGCTGACGACGATGCATTCGAGTGTCGCATTGTCTACAACAGGCTGCCGTCGGGGGTCTGCTTCGATGAGGGGGACGATCTTGAGGTTGAGGTTTGGGGAGCGGGAGTGGAGGTAGGCGGTGAGTTGCGAGACCCGGAAGGAGTAGGGCTCGATGAGCTGGGGGGAAAAGAGGCTGATCAGGGGACGAATAAATTGAGCCCAAAATGAGGTACTGTGATGATTGGTCAGGAGAAGGATGACGAAAGTGACTTGCCGGGGAGAACACTCGGGTAAAGGGACATGTCAGTCAATCGGAGACAGGCGCAAATGAAACAAGAGCTGAGCCGGGCATCAGTTGTGAGGCTATCGAGGCGGGATTCTTCGTGTCACTCAGGAGAATGGTCTGGATCAAAAATAGAAGAAGAACACACTCTACACATAGAAGGGAGATGGGCTGAATCAGACGCTGTTCTCCTGAGGACCAGCACAGAATCAAGCAAGGCCAGCAGCCAAGCGGAACCAGCAGAAACCGAGGCGCCAACACCAGCCAGAAGCCAGAAGCTTCTGCTCACCTCTGCCAGCACTTTGTTTGTCAGGAGTTCCTCAGTGGTAACTCCAATGATGAGCTGGCCGCCGGGGCTGAGAACTCGCAGCGCAGCGTCCAGCAGCAGCTCGTGGCCAGCGTGCAGGCGGTCGAAGGTGCCCCCCAGAGCAATGCTGTGGAAATGCTTGACGGACGGATTCTCCTGAGGAAGCTGAGGGGCAGTGAGCGGCGTCTCCTTGGGGTGGGCCATGAGCGACACCTCTTTTTCGGGGGCACTGGTCTGGCTGCCCCCTTCATTGTTGCTCATTGGAACTGCAGCTGGGGAGCTTGAGCGGGAAGGGGTCCCACTGGTCAGATGTGCTTCCAGGATTTTACTAGCAGGGGGTTGCGAGGTTGGGAGATAGAAATTTTGTGGCATGGAGGTGTTCAATTGGCGCAGTTCGATTAGCAGTGGACACAGCCAGCTTTGTCTGGTAAGGCCAGGTGTAAGTGACCTCCTGTGTGGCCCTGCTTGGACGGCATTGTAGATGCTTGCTCCGACTCGTAGACTTGTCGTCTTGCAGCTGGCTGCAGCAGCAAGAGACATCACAAACTGTAGTCTTTTCGTGAAGCTTCTGAGATCCCACTGCTGGCATTGCACTTGCTGCTCGTCGTTTGAAAAACTTGGCAGGCAGCAGCATGGATGAGGAGGCGCTCAGTCAGCGCATCCTGCCATTACGTTGTGATTGATCAGATCTGTACAAGAGAGGGGTGCCAATACGAAGGGAGAATATCGCACCGGAAGGTTTTTTTAACAGCCCGACACGCACTTTTCATGTTGAGAAAGCGGCACCTTCTTCCAACTAGAGTACCAGCGAAGGAGCACGCTTTACAAAGTTGGGATGATGACTTTTTGCAACAAATCCTGTTAACAGTTGCAAATGGTGAAATTCTGTTTGCAGAAATACTCGACTTGCTGAAAAACTTTGTTCCACAATTTTGACTCAGAAGTTCAGAATGCAGATCTATAATTTTAAATGCAGACAAGCAGCCTGAGCTAGCCCCCAGCTAGCGCTTGCCAAGCACAACAATGGAGCTGTTCCCCGGGTGCTGGAGCAGGGTGCAACGCTACCTGCTCTCCCAGACTTTTCTGGAGCGCCACTGTGTGGTGGCGCAGTACTTCCTTTCTGATCGCGTGGGGGGGCCTCAAAATGGACACAACCTGGTGAATGGTTCATCAATTCGATTGCAAGCGGCTGCCATGCATTGGTTGTCTTCCAGCAGTATCAATGACAGCGGTAGGATCGCAGATGCACCAGCAGTGTCGAAGGTGGGACCACCGATCGGTTCACTTAGCCAGAATAATTTCATTGGCACTTTCAGCAGCAGCAAACACTCATTGAAAGTTCCCACAGCCAGCCTGGTAGGCAATGCTGTGACAGGGGTCCAACCTTTGGGACCGCAGTTTGGTGGTGGACTTTGCAGGGAGGAGCTGACACCTTTTTCTCAAAGCCATGCATGCAACGGGCAGCGGAGCATCCACGCTTCTCCAGCTGCAGCTGGCGCTGAAGTGGACGGCCAGTCTGGCATCTCAAACATTGTGAACGAGATGATTGAGTACTGCAACACTTGCAGATCAAGAGGTAGGTAGCTCCTGCAAGAGAGGCTACACTCGATTGTGGTTGAGCTGCAAAATCTGCAAGGGCTTCAGAGCTTGATTCCGGTGGCTCCCAGTTTGTGAAATATTGAAACGCTGCCCTATCATGTTCAAGGGGCTCAATGTTGTGACTATGATCGGCCTTCCCCCTAAAGCTTCGTTTTGAGATGCCTCCAGCCTAATGTTCTGTCAGAATGAAAGATACTTCTATAGTTCCATCTTTGAATGCCTCGAGCCCAATCAACTGTCAGATTGAAGCAAACTCTGATTCTGATACTTGAGAATTTCTGCGGACAGGCTCATATGTAGAGGCACTTCGAATCCTGGAGACTGCAGAGCAGGCCGCGTCTCAAGCATCTGGCTTTCCTCAAAAAGAAGCCCTCGGCCGAATCCAACTCGCAAAAGCAGCCGTTCAGTGCGACAGGTACTCACCATTGGCTTCCCTTCTCCGTTTCGAGGGGCCTACCTCTGCTTGAATGATAATTAAAAGTTTCACATCGCCTCACATTGCTGGAAGTTGACTGCACCTTTTTCTGACACTGCAATTGAATCAGTTGCATTTCTCCTGTTGGACACATTTTTGTCAATTGATATGCAGAACAATTATTTACAACCTTGGAGAGTGGATCCCCGATGTTGATGATAACAGGAAGTGTTCCTCTATCTTGTGTAGGCACCGGGAAATTCTGCTTCTGAATCTGAAAAATGTTCAGCAACAAGAGTACAACTGCTTCCTGACGGGTGCTTCTGACAGCCCTTAGAGGCGCCAGGATAACCCAATAGCCTGCCCTCTCAGGTGTGAATACGGGGCAGCTGTGGACACCCTTTGGCCAAACTTCCCAGATCTTGCAACGAATCACTCTGACGACAGACTCCGGCACATAACAGGTGAGGCGTTCCCTCCGACCCGCTGTCTGACACAGTCCAATCAACGTTTATGCTTCTGAGAACGAGATGAGAAATTGTAGATGGCAAGAATGGGTTCTTAAGAACTAGAATCCCCGCTGCTGTCGAGCTTATGGGACAGCACGGCTTCTTTTTAGATGTCAATGTGTTGCTGCTCAACCAAAGTTCTTTCGTTTCCGCACTAAATGCTGTCTCAAGTCTTGTCCGCAACCTGCAGATGCTTCTCTACACGCAGCAGTTTACATCATGCTGACGCTAAATAAGGTGACGAAAGACATCCTTTTCCTTCGCATCTTTGGCTTGCGAAGGTTACCAGCTAACTGTGCGGAATTCGCCACCTCTGGATGCCCTCAAAAATGCCATTTACATGGATTAGGACCGTGCAACAACACGCGAGTGCAAATCAAACCCGATCACACGGTTCGAAACGCGCGGCAAGGATTGCAAGTTTCATTGTACAGCTGTGCCACTTGCGGTCTGAAGAATCGAAGCTCGAGTGTTGAGAAATGACTTGCAATGCTAGATGTTTTCATCGTTTGCTCTCGGAACTTGGACACGAGGTAACACTTCGAAACTATGTTCGATGCAAAAGTTTGATTTCCTATAGTTCGATTCTCTCACTTATCCTTCTTTTTGAAGCAGCAATAAGTGTGACTGAGTGCTCTTAATGCTTTCTCGTACGAAGTTCGTCACCTCGAAGCTCAGAGTTTCAAAGATGTTCGATAGGACTTTTGCACCGTGCCTCCGAGCCGGTTGACTCTGTCGACAGTCTCAGACACGTAGCAACACATGCTGGACTGGTTGAGCTTTCCGAATGCCTCTGTAGAACCTTTGGCAAACGGCATCTGTTTGTCTGACACGCTCTCTAACGGCTGCAAGAGACGTCCTATCCACTTTGGGCCAGAGTTCGTATGCCGTGCAAGCTTTTGTGCTAAGCGAAGAGCCCAACTTGCGAAGTCTCTGTCGGCAGGATGAAGAGGCGAAGGAAATGGTGAACAGCGCAGTCAAAGCATGTCCATCTCGAAAGGAACTCTTTGAGCGTACGGGACTGGATGCGGCACTGGCAGCAGCGGCCGGGGAAGAAACGCCGGGTAAGAGCCTGAGTGCGGTGTGTCAGGAACTAGAACGAGGGGAAAAGGCAACAAGAACTGGGTTCAAGCAGCGGTGCTGAGTCGAAGGGGACTGTAATTCGGCAGTTTGCAGTGGTGGAGGTTCCCCTCTCTGGGGCGTTCCGATTTGTTGAAAGCTCGAAGCATCGTTGTGACCCGGACTGCCGGAATGAGCGGATTGAATGGAGCTCCTCAGCCGAAATCTGCAAATGGAGTTTGCCAATGTACAATGGAGTACCGTCTACGCATACTGTGTCTCACGTGAATATCGAGCTGGAAACCTGCTTGCGTTACTCTCTAGCTGCGAATGTCATTGAGCCATGTCGGGACGTCGATGTAAGAAATGAAGGTACACTGCGTTGATGGGAAGCATCACTATCTCCGACTAATTGGGTTTGTTTTCCTTCTGCTACTATTAATGTTTTGCATGACTTTTTTTCGAGTCTCTTTACTTGATATGACTCTTGGGTCCTCTGCCTCTCCTGCAGCCGACACAATCGTCAAATCGGGCCAGAGTCAAGTCCTGGCAGAGGCGTTCGGTCATTGCGCCGCGGGCCCCTTCGTCGAGGTGCGCGAAGCGGAGCTCTCAGAGGCGCTCCGGACAATCACGTACGAGACGTTCTGGACTGAACGAGGAGGATCAGACACGGACGAAAAGTGAGGGTTTCCCTGTTTTCGCCTGGCGCGAACGAGTGAGTATAGAAGACGTCAGAGCATTGAAAATGCCTTTTCAATTTTGTGAATGTCTCTAAGTCGACCACGTCCCTTTCTCGATCGCGTTCGGCCAGAAGCCTTGCACTTTGAAATTGTTACGCTGTGGACTGAGTGGCCATGAGCGGTCATGTTGCGAGGCTCCTGCAAGGCCAGCCACGTAGTTCAAGGCCCGAAATCGTGGCAACGAAGGCAATTCGCGCACGGAAAAGTCTAGTTGGTTCCTAGTTTACAAAGCCAAAGATGAAGTCAGCTGTCCATTTGGCAACACTCCGATCGCTTCGTGGACAGGAACTTCCTGGAGGACGTCGCCATGAGACGGTTGGGATCGCAGATCAAGAAAGCGAGTGCTATCACCGGTGAGTCGACCGTTCCTCTTGCTCCGTCCCCTTTCGTTATAAGCAGCATGATTGTCACATAAAGAGTTTGTAAGGCCAGTTGCTGATTGACATCAGTCTCTTTTATGGATGGAACATCCGTCCTCCTTCGGTCCCTTTCCTGAAAAGCAGCATCATCGTCGTACAGAGACTGGTTAGGCCAAATGCGGGAATGACACCCTTCTTCCGTGGGTCGGACACGGGGCCAAATCACGGAAGCTTCTACGGCACTTCTGCTCTAGACCGTTGGATGAACTGATCTCGCCACGTGGCCCTCTCCCAGGCGACAAACACCCGCGCATGGCCCTCGTTCTTATCCTGTTGGGCCGCGTCTTTGCGAAGCTCGCGGACCACGCTGAAAGTGCGGCGCTACTGGCTGAGGTTCGTGGTTCAGCCCTAAACCCTCTGGTATCGCCCGGTTGTTCAAACCTCCACCAGCTTGTAATGGAGTTTTCGGGCGTTGCACTTTCACCCCGGGTCTACACCCTTGATAAAAGGATCCGGGACTTCTGATTTGGTGGTGTCAAAGACGCTTGTCGGTAGGTCATCACGTCCGCGGCTGGGCACAGAAGGCCCTGACATGGTCAGTTTCACGGATTCTCACAAACGGCAGCTTCTTCAGGAAAAGCTGCGTTTGGCAAACGTAGTCGCAAGCTCTGGGGAGCGCGTTTTCGATAGCGACAAACCTCTTCACAACCTTTTGCCGCATTCTGGCGTTGGCCCTTCGCCATCGCCTCTCTGCCCTTGTTTAGAAAGGTTCCGTCAATCGCGTCTAGACTGAAGTCCAAATAACCGAGCGAGAATCGTCAGGAAGCAAGAAAGCCTAGCGAGGAAAGCGTAGGTATCTGATCGAAACACAAACCCGACTCTGTATCCGCGCAGTCCTCGTTTAACGCGGCGCTCAAGATCCTGGAGGGGCCTTCAGGTGGGCGATTGGGTTCTTCAGAGACCTTCCCCTTTTTCTCTTTACTTTAACAAGTTGTCAATAGTAGGTTGCTATGATGGTGATGGGCTGTTGAGTACATGTAGCGGCGTTGGATATCACAAAAATTGGGCCAGAGTCTTGGGCCTGCGAGAGGTGATGTTCGTCGGTCTCAATGTTTTTGAGGAATCAAGTATGGATTGGAAGTACCAGTTACAGTAATCTAACCTGTACCGCCGACTCACGAACACAATCTGGAATCATCTTGAAGCCTGTACGAAAACCAATTGTCCCGGGGCGTTTCTGTGATGGATAAGATCCTTTGAGCAGTCAAGCTTATCCTTGAAAAGCGTGCGCCCGTGAATCAGCTTACAATGGCACTTTTGTTTCTAATCTTGTCCACCTTGGATGCCTTTCTTTTTGAAACTGCTTATTCTGCTACCCGATTTTGGCATGGACCGACATTTCACTCCTAGAGATCGAACGCAACTTAAATTTTCTTGTCATCTGCGGACGTGCTCATACTTGCTTCCCGCAGTTGCATCTTCCGGCGCGTACTCCGAAGCTACGGACTTGACAAAAGGTAGGTCTCCACGCTGCTGACCGCACGTCACCTGCTTGGATCTATGTAGTGCGGAACTTGCGACTCGCTTCTTAAACCTGCGCTGCTTTCAGAGCGGTACCTAGCCTGCTGAACCTAGTGGCAAAATGAAAAATTCCTCATCCACTTGTTTCGAACAGTATAGAGTCGAGATTTTGTGGGCCCTTCTGCTTGTACGGTACTTGATGTCAGCGAGGCTGCCAGGCAAGTGAGGACTCGACTGCGCAAGAAAGTGCGAAAGCGGCCCTCAGGGACCCCGGTCTTGACGCAGAGATAAGACTCGAGGTTCTGTGATTGTTGCGGGTGTTGCGGTCGCTCTCTTTGCTTTCTGTACCACTGTGCTCGATTCCTCCTCGCGGTTTATTTGCAAAGTTCCATCAACATTGTGAGACTTTTTCAAAATCATCGGCCTCTGTGACCGGCTATTGTCGAAAGTTATGCTTGACAGCAACAGCGCAGTTGTTTTTGTAGCATGCCTGGCCGCCGTGCTCAAAGTCTTTCCATGGCGGGAGAGCGAAGCGGACCGAGTGGCGAGCGCCGTGAAGGACCGTCGCCTGCTCGACGATGGTGTCCTACGAAGGGCCTTCATACTTGGTTTGGAAGGAAGGGTACATATGATTGTTGACAAGAGGTAGTTGGTGAAGCGTCGAGCTCGATTTGCTCCCAGCTGCCCAAAGAGAGAGCATGTGTACATGATCACGTGCGGATGTAGATGTTGGAGGCCAAGAACGCTCATCAAGCATGGTGTCGAGGCGTCGAGATCGGTAGTCTGCCAGCCGCCCAACGAAAAGAGCATGTACATATGAGCACGTTCGGATTTAGAACTTAGCAGCCAAGAATGCTGATCAAGCACCTAGTAGGTCATGACATCTCGAGAGGCGGCCACTCAGCGACCAGAATTCTAATAGCCAACATATGCAGTTTCGCTGAGTTCGACGGAGCAATGTCAGCATCCCTGCGTAAAGATCAAACTGGCATGCCGCGAGCAGGCCCGTAACATGGATCGATCAACGAGACGAGAAAAGGATCCTATTCATATGTGCAAAGCTTGCTCGCGTCCATGCAATTGTTCCTTGGACCCGGTCACGGTGCGGCATCAATATAGGTGATTGCCTCGTGCACGTATATATTCGCTGGCCGCATAGAAGCACCGGGTATGATTGCATGCAAGATCGAGCAATCAATGTCGGCGATTCCCGAATTCAAAAGGCGTATGCGTGCTTTATGCGATGATTAAGCTCCCGCGGCGAATCCTAAAGCTAGTTACATGCGCAAGGCAACAGGCCGCACCAATGAGTTGCATTCATGCGCGGCAATCCAACCCAATAATGTGCACCAAAATATGACAAGCGCAGTCTGTACGTCCGCATGCGGCTCTGCAACCGAAACTAGGGCAAATGCTTGTGGATGCAGGTTGCATCAATCCAAAAGGCACCGTTTGATACGAGTTTTTAGTCAATATATGCATCATGCCCGGAGTGGGTATGCCATGCAATTGATCGCTTCACGCAATCATTCACGTTGCCTCTTCCCCTCCTCGAGCATACTCATGTAACCCCGACCCTTCCCCCAGCCTCTTCCGCCGCTGCCCGTTCTTCAGGGCTCATCGCGTCAAGCTCTCCTTGACAGTACCGGGGGATCGAGTCGATGGCCTCGTTCATGGTAGCAATCCAGGCGGACTGCACTTCCGTAGCCTGGAAACAGCAAAGCGTGTATCCATTAGACGGGCACATCTCGCTGCATTGCGGCGGCGCAAAGAGTGCAGCCGCGAGGCACCTACTAGATCAAAACAGATGCCTTTCAAAAACCACAGTAGCAGAGATTAGCAGAGCACTAAAAGGCTCTTCAAAAGTTGGAGGGCAAGCCTGCCTCGAACCGAACGAGCCCCGTCAGACGACCATTTTTGAGGGAATACTGCAGAGCAGATTGCCATTTTGTCAGTGCGGCACAAAAGCGCATGCAAAGTCCGGAAAGCCTGATGGAAAGCCAGGGCGGTAGCAAACACGAGACTAGCTGGAGAATCAAGAAGCAAGTTGGAATAGCGGACACGCACTCGAATCTACTGACAGCGGTGAGTCTCGTAACCTCTGAAAGATGGACGGATCCGCATACAATCAATCCTTAGTCGACCAAAGGAGATACAGGGTAAGATTGGGCAGGTTTAGTTACCAGATCTGCCGGGGGCTCCTTGATCCGCGGGGGCAGTCCCGGGGCGACGAAGTCCCGCTTGTCCCAGCTCCACACGTCGTTCCCTCGCTCGTCCTGCGGGGCGATGGCGCACATGTAAGCAGCCCGCGTCGAACGGCAAAGACCGAATTCACAACGTTCGTAGAACCTAGCCTATCGTAGGAATGAGAGCGGCCTTCTGACCCAAGTTTGAAGAAGCGTCAAGCCCAGCCTGATGACGGTGATCTCATGATGAACGCGGAAACCAAGCCGTTGAATGAAGGAAAACTGCAACGGAAACGCTAGGGTTTCACTATCGAAACATTCGAACTGGGCGCGGGTTCGGCGCAAAAAGCATACCGCTGTGGCTTCCGTGCAACATCGACGGCTTTGATAAAAAGGAATCATCCTGCAAGCAACTGTTGACCGTAGCTGGTTGATTAAGCAGCAATGACGGTTACCGCCATTGCGATACTGATACCCTTGAAACGTGCAATTTCGATGGCAATCTGAACGCGTTACCACTTCTCGAACCGTCGGGGATGCCCCGAAGTGGCCATGCTGGCAGTATCAAAGAGCTCAGTTTTTTAAAATACCTGGTTTCTCCAAGCTGAAACCGACACACGCGCAAGCTGTGCTCCATTATTCATTCGCAGTAATCGCCTCGCTAAGCATACAAACACCGCGGATCGAGAGCGCTCCGCACTTTGCCAGGCTCTACTTGCTTCCGCTAGCGCTAAGGCTGCCTCGCTGTGAAGGTGCCCAGAGCCTTGACCTTGTATTTACTATTTGCACGGGAGATAACGAGTTTTTCACGGCGCCTCGGGAAAGTTGCAGAAAGTGGGACTAACCTTGATAAAGTTGCCCCACGTGTAGTGTATAATCCTGGCTTCGCCCAACACTTCGTCCTCTGGAGGCTGCCACAGGGAGAAGTAAAGCCGTCAAAGATCGTTCCTTAACCTTCTACAAGTCTTGATTGCAAACGTTTAAGAGAAGACAAGGTTCGCAGCAAGAGTAGAACAGGGGGACAGACCAGATCGTGCAGTTGTTGACTTACAAGAGCTCGTTTCCTGCGATTAAGGCATCTGCGATCAGCTCAGACCAACTCCTGTCTGTGGTGACCTTAGCAGAGGAAAAAACAGAAAAGATATAAAACAAACGGAAATAAGGATGTAGAGAGTGCTTCGATCATCAGCGACAAGATCATCAGAAACCTGCACAAGTTGACTTCGAGAGCTTCCTTCATGTTGATCAGATGGTCACAAATTGCTTTCGAAATATGCCCTTAATGTTGTTTGCACTACCTGCTTTCAGCCCATTGAAAAGAGCCGTCTTCTTACCCAAACACTTGCTTACCCACCCTTCCTGCTTCCAGAGCCAGATCGTAAACATGCACTTGTGGCTGATCAATCCGTCATCGCAACAAGCTGACGATGTCCTGTAGACGATTGGTGGGCTAACCTGCACCATGATCCCCCGAGGATTCTTGGGCAGGTCCAGGTCCACCTTCGCCTTGGCCACCGCTATTGAGAACGCGTACATCTCCCGCACCCAGCTGCACCAGAGAGCACGAATACCGGTTCTAGATCGGAGTTTGGGGGGTCTCAGGAGTGCCGGCAATCAGAAATCTAGGATCTCTCACAATCTCATAGGAAGGCAGCACCAAAACGTCTTGATTTTCCCGATGAGTTGGAGACTCCTTCGAGACCATCGACCGTTCGAAGCCTAGATAGAAAAGCTAGGTAGATTGCGAAGTGACTGAGAGTCAACTTCGTTGGTGAAAGGATCTGAAGAGAACTTGCCAAGTCGGAAGATGCTTGGGAACCTGCAAAGAGCAGATTTTGAAAAGGATGCAAGAGGCCGCTCGCTCACCCCAGCTTCTTCTTTGCGTCCTCGTCTTCCTCTATCTGCGCTGTGACGTCAACCCACAAAGGGATGACCTTCCTGCAAAGAAGAAGGTCTTCGTTGGTCGTCTTCGCAAAAAAGCCACTTGACAGAGACGATTGCAGAGGGCAAGCGGCGGCCCTCAGACTCGGCCTGAAAGCGTTGCTTCGGCATTTGACGAAAGAGAAAGAAAGACTTTCCGAAGAGTTCTGGATGAAGCTAATGATTCTGATATACAGAGCTTTCCTAACCGGCCTGACGTCCAGGCACGGCCCGAGTGCTGTGAATGTCGCACCTTGAGGAATGCATCACCCGTAGCCGCAAAGAATAATAAGACCGAGGAGAGAATATTACCTCATGTCCTCGATCTTCATGAGGAGCGGCGCGTTGCCGGTTGGAGGGATGTCGCTCACGGAGCAGTCAGCACAGTCGTACAACCTGCACACAACGAACGTACATTTTGGTGAGCGGCAAACCAAGTGAGCTCGAGTTGCCGCCCAATAAGCAACGTGGTGCACCAAAGGAAAACAGAATGATCGTTGACTCCAGGACGCTAGAAGAATGCCGCTGTCCACTGTAGAAGCTAAAAAAAGGTTCCTGTTGACTTGAAAGAGCGCTTGATATACTACAAAAGCAATCGTCAAACATCGATCGACTTGAGACTCCGCTGTCCTGAAAGTGGACAGGATCTAGTGGATCGCTTCAGAACCGGCATGCAAAGTACGTCTCTTCAGCTTCAGCAGATCTCAACAATCTCATCTCTTAATTGCAGCAAAGGAGCATGGCCGCCAGAAACCTCAAACGGTGCTTCTCTGAAGTGCAATTTTCACACATGTTTTGAGCATCTGGTTCACCTCTTCATGTAGCTCCGTAGCTCTCCTGCCTGAGGCGCCATGTAGCTGAACGGAAAGCCCACATTCCGGCCGGACGCCGGAACGGCAAATGGCCTGTAGGAACCGTTTTAGGAACCGTTAACAGAAAGTCAATACTCGACAGATTCGTCCGATGTCAAACCTGGATACGCCTCGCAACACAAACCGCAGCTCACCCATTCGTTGTGCCGAAGCGGTCTCAACCGAGACAGAGTGTTCAGAAGCTCGTAAGGCGCCCATAGCTAGCGCACTCCCGGGGTTTCACGGCCTTGAGATCGAAGCGAGAAACGAGCGAAAGGGCGAGAGTCAAGTGCAGGAAAGCAAAGAGTCGAGGCAGAGTACCCTGACAAGAGCCCTTGCCCCGTCCCACTTGGTCAGAAACTCTGAGTTTTGCCCAGACTCTCTTCTTCCCGGAACCTTATCTACTCGAGTGAATCCTTTTCGCAACCTTCCTGACAATGGGATAACTTCAAGGAGAGCGGAGAGCCCTTTGACCCGTTGATGAAGTTTGTCATCAGGAAAAGAGATCCTCACTTGACAAACAAGTGGTCCGTCTCGGCCATGAGCACCCAGTCCCCCTTGGGGTCCCCCGACTCGAGCCACTGCAGGATGGCGGACGGTCGGCTGGCCACGGGGTATTCACACCACACGTCGCAGGACGGGTCCAGGGGCTCCACTCGAACGGTGGGAATTTCCCCCATGAGGACGTCGTCCGAGGAGCGGTGCAACACGCGCGTGAAGTGGTGCATGGCACTGCCCGGCGTGCTTGCCACCTGGATGAAACAGGAAGGTTTGGTGTGAAGGTGTTCTTGCCGAAAGCATGAATTGTCTCTTCCATTGTTTCGGTTGGCGTTCAGACTTCCCCTCTTCGTGGACAACATACCTCACAACTGTACGTTTCAGATGGGATGTAAGGATGTCAGTCCGTGGATTCGAGCACCAGGTGATGTTGCTTTTGGCAGGTTAACGCTGGGTGACAATTGAGTGACAAGTGTCAGGAACAGACCAATCAGTGCAATCAAAAGCAGAGTCGCCACAAGTACTCAGAATCGACAGATGCCATCACAGCAAAAGTTCGAAGTGTGGACAACCAAACCCAACCTTTGTCGACGTCCTTGTCTAATTGGAGGCTCGTTTTAAGATTGACTGCTTCCAACGCCCAGTTGAATTGGAATGACGAGAGAACATCCTTTGAGCGAACCTTCTTGAAGCTGTGGTACATGATCCGGGTCTGCCAGTTGAGGTAGGGAGAGCCGTTGCTCGTCACAATCACGTGGATGCTGCCCCCCTCGGTGGCCCCCGCCCCAGCCGTCTTCTTTCTAGCAGGCTGTTCGTCCAACTCGTCTTTACTGTTTCCCCATCCGTTGGTTGCTTCCTTCTTTACAACTCCATCTCCTTCCTTGCCTTCTTCCGTAATCGCATTCACACCTTGATGGGAGGAGTGGTGGGAAGTGGTGTGAACGGGGTCCCCCTCTGATTGGGATTGGGCGTCAAGGGACGATAGCACCTCTTGGTAGCTGCACAAACGAATCAACGCCACTGGTTGACAGATGTCCGATGAGAAGGCCTCGCTACTTGCGGCCAGGAGATTGGTCCTAACCAGGAGACAGGGCCCAAACTAGGTTGGTGTCAGAGCTTTCAGCAGCTTCTCACATATGGAGCCATTACGTAATCGAGCAGTTGTACTGTGTAGCAGCTTGCTGAAGCGCAAAGACGACTTTGAACTCTGTGCTTCGTTGGGAATGTGATCTCACCTGATGATCTCCTCTGTGAGGCGCCGGGCACCCAAAGACAGCCTAGGGCCCAGAACGACCATAAGGACAGAGACTACGGTGATCCCAACGAAGAACTTGGCAGCCCCAGCTAGGTGACTGTTTGATCCCTGGGGCCGAGATCTGAGCGGCTTAGCCATCATACTAGTTGAGGCTTGTTCAGGGGCACTGCTGTTTAGGAATGCTTTTGTGTCAGACTCAAATTCTATACTAAAGCCAATGTTTTCGTTCATGGACAGGGACCGAGTGCAGACCTTCTCCTAGAAACTTCTTGTCCCTGGTTCGACCTGCTTGACCTAGCGCAGGAGGGGCACACAGCCCCGCTACATTCAGTATGCCACAGACACAAGATTGCCTTCGTTTGTATCCTAGTACCACCAATTGACCTTCTAAACAATGTTAGACACTTCAGGAGGGGACACGCGTGTTGGTGAAGAACACGATCCTGCTGGTCAAGTCCTCCTTATCTTCTGACGCTCCGCAATCCGGGCTTCTACATCAGCAAGGTCTTCTGCTGGTGTCGCTGCAATCTCAGCCTCCACTTGAGCCAGCAATTCTCTCTCAACCTTCAGCTCGTCCTCCTCTTCTTCAGACCGAACAGTCCTTTCCAGCAAGTATGCAATGTTCCTCTCGCAGTGTCTCTTCATTCCCAGCACAGCGGCGGTCTGCGAACGCCTGATCACGGCAGGGCTTGGTGGGCCCTCCCTCCTATACACTACGTTTTCGTTCTTTTGCTGCACGGGAGGGCAATGTGATTTCAGAGCCACGTTTGCTGTCGCGAATTCCTCCGCTGGCATTGCAGCCACCTTCACCTCTAGTTCTGCCAAGAGTGCATTGGCTTTCCTCAGGTCCTCGACTCTCTCATCGCACAGAAGTGCAGCTCCTGACACAGTCTCCAAATCTGCTATGTCCTCCTTGACTGCCCGCAACCACCGCAAAATGGACTTGTTCTGCACAAAGGTGAGATCAGCAAGGGCACGAGAGCTCTGCGGCGAGGCAGGCCTCGTCTTCGCGATCTCGTCAGTGTTGCTGCCGTCGAGATGCATTCCTGCACCTTGACGCGATTGCAAGGAGCAGGGGCCAGCCCCCAAAGCCTGCAAACTGCTGTTGGAAGTGGAACCTGCGCAATGCTGCAAACACACACAAAGCATGAGTTGGAAATCAAGCACAAGCTTAGGGTTTGGCGCACAAGCAGGTACTGCAAACCCTAATTTGAAAGAAGTGCAACGCGTTACGCTGGCCGTTGCTGCGATGTCGAGGGGATCCCGTCGAATCTTCGATTTGAATCTGAAGCTAAGCGGTCACACGTGGCCTTGATGCAAGCTTTCGACGAGAAATTGAACCATCCTCAACGTTGCGTTTTGAATCTGGGGAGCTTCTCTCTGTGTGGCTCAGAACGTCGCTAGCTATCTGTATAGGCTGTAGGAAGGAGGAAGGCGCTGGTTAGGGCGCCTGTTCGTAACAGATTCAGGGGCGTTGGGTTAGGTGACCTGGCACATACCTGGGCCACCGTAGTTTGGGATCGCTTCTGTTCAATAGGGCAGTCGGCCTGCATCCAAGGCGTCTCGGGGACCAGGCTTAGGGTTTGAGTGCCAGGGATCTGTGCTAAAAAGTACCGTGACAGCACGCCGCTGTCCAGTCGATTAGCTTTTCAAATTATATAATTGCATATTGTTGAACGTTATTCATTCTTTGAATTGCCTAGGGCTGTTCCTGGTCTGTTCTTAATCCAAGGAGGAGTCAGGGTTCTGCGGCACCGCTGAGGCTGACGTGCCTTGTTTTTCTGGTCAGTAGGTAGGGTAGCTAGGAGAAGTTGGGCGGAAAAGTACAGAGCGGTCCGAAGAGTAGCTGGTTCTAAAGAGCTGGTTGTTGGTCGGCGGCCTTTGGAATATTGGGGACCCATGGAGGGCTCAGACTGGGAGAGATTTGTGGAGGACCTGCAGGAACCTGAGATTCTCTTTGCTCTGGAGCAAGCAGGGGCGGCACAGGCCCAGTCACTGGTGAGAAACAAGAGTGCTTATTCTTTCTTGTGCATCTTCTGACTGTCCTGGTTCAGAGCGGCAAGATTTGTGCTTCTGAGCAGAGGTTTTTTGTCGTACCTGCACGCATTTGCCAGGATGTTTGCCTGCAATCCATGTTCCTGCTTCTCTTTTACATGCATCTTGCTGATGAATGGGTATGAAAGCCTCTCACAACTCTAGGTGTCCGAAGATTCATACATGTGTGTGCTTCAGCAAAGAGAGCAGAGTCTTGCGTCTGCTTCAAGAAGACGGTTTACAAAAAAAGCTTGCGAGGTCCAGACGCCGCCCTCATTTACAGTTGGGTCAAGGTTGTCTGACCTTAGCTTCTGTGGCTCATTCCCTGTCTCTACTTGGTGCTCGTTCCAGCATTCGGCAACAATTGACACTGCTCAACCGGCACTCCAGTCAAGCAACCATGCATGCGGAGAGGGCCACCAGCACGCGGGCGCCGCAGGTCTAGCAGTAGCGACTGCAGATTTTGCTGCCTCGTTTCTGGCTGAGGGCGACGATTGGATTTGCGCCATCTGCCGCGATGTCATTGCTGCCGCCAGCACAGCACAGGTCAAAGGTTGCGAGCACGCCTACTGGTGAGCATTGCGTCTGTGCTGAGACCACTTTGTAGGCTGAATGCAGTGCCAGGCTGGTTTATGGGGCAGGGGGGCTTTCCTTTCATGACCTGCAGGAATGCAGATGCTGAATGTTGGCCAGGAACGAAGCCGTTTCCATTTGTGTACGTTTTGGAGGCCAGATTGTGCTCCGTAAAGCTGTAGAGAAGCTGCCTAGATTGTGCTTTTTGCGGAGTCCTCTTTGTTAATTCAATCCTTTTGCATTCTACTTCTTGTCTTGGTGGAGCAAATCACAATCTTCTGGCCCATGTTGTCCAGCTTGTCCTGAGCACTCAAACTGAGTTCGCTCCACTTGCTTTCTTTGCAACTTCAGCTGCATCCATTCTTCGTCATCGCTCATAAAATTTTCTCATTTTGCAATCCTCCTTGCCCTGTGCAGCATAAACTGTATCCTGCGCTGGGCCACGTTCCATACCACTCCGTGGTGTCCCCAATGCCGCCTGCCCTTCACCAAGCTCTATACATACAAGACCCTGGATGGCAGGTGCGTCATTTTCTGGACTCTGAAGTTTGGCGCTTAAAAGAAAAGTCTGGTTGGTCGGACCTACTAAGATTGCAGTGCTGCAAATAGATATCAGTCCTGTGATTACCTGCTTCTCCTTCCAACATGTCTAGTCAGCAAGTTGCGAACAAGTGAATGGAACAAACCTTCGCGAAAACCTGGAGACTCTGTTGCATCTCTGCTCTCTTGACTTTTGTTGGATTGTCTCCCGCAATTTGTTCGTCCTCATTAGTAGCACCTCTTGTCTATCTTGAGTACTACCCTTGAGACCGCGTGCATTGTAAGCAGATATGAGTTCCAGATTCTCCTAACCGCGTGTCAAACTCTTCGCTAACATTCACTTCACTTCGGCAGGTGAAAGTTTCACCTGCTTACCCCCCTGTCTCTACTTGTCTGTAGCCTGAGTGACGTCATGCTTGAGGAGAGCGTGTGCCTCCTGTTGCGCGCCACCTGGTACGTCCGCGCCGCTGACACCTGGCAGGCCGAGAGCGACTACCGGGAGGCTCAAGAAGAGTCCTACTATGACGACTATGAGGAGGACGGAGATGAATACTATGAGTACGGGGGCCGGCCCACGCTGCGCATTGGCAATCGGCGCTGGGGGTCTGACGGTTTCGTGAGGGGGGGCCGTAAGGAGGCGCGCGTGGTGCCCCCCAAAGCGGCGCCCTCGTCCTCAGTGGCGAGGGGCAAGGGCAAGGAGAAGGTTGGGGGCGCGGGGGCGGGGCCGTCTGGGAAAGGGAAGGAGAAAGTGGGGGAGGAAAGTGGGGCATTGGCTGGGGGTACGGGCAAGGAAGGGACGGGGCGGCGAGCAAAGCGGCAGCAGAAGAGAGAGGCGGCGGACAGAGGGGGTGAGGACAAACCGCGGGTGGGGCTCAGGGTCGCTTAGGCGGGGGCAGAAGGGTCGCGGCTTAAGAGGAGGTGTTCTGCATGTTGGCGACGTCCCCTTTTGCGAAGCTGCTGCGCCAATAGAGTCGGGTCAGCAGCACTCGTTGTGCAGCCACAGGCTGAAATCGGATGGAGCCCTTCGTTTGAGGGAGTACTTGCCACAGTAGGATCGCCTGGATTTAGGTGACTGTCACAGCGGCAGGGGTGGAGTTCTTGGGGAAGCAAAGGCGCATTTCTGTGGCTCTGCTTGAGAGCATCAGCCAAGTTGCTGACAAAGTTCAAGGGCGCAAGTCAGCAGGCCGTTATTGTTTGGTTGTGGCGAAATAGGGTAGCCAACGTGATGATCTGAGCTCCTCAAGGACTGTGTAAATACTTGTACAAACAGGTAGTGTTAGGTTGATCGAAAGCAGATGTATAAATCAAGAGTGTATTCGGGTAGGAGGTAGTAGACCATTCTTCATGCAGAGCGTCGTTAATTTTCTGCGGTAACAGATGGCTCAGATTTGCGAGAGTCGGTCTCAAATTGCTCCTTGTCTGTTACTTCAAATCCTGGACGAATTTGCATTATCTCGCATGACGCTTCCCCTTTTTGTCTGAAGTTCAGCTCGTGCATACTGACTGCAACCGGCAACCGGAAGTCTCCCTCCCATGCCGCTATTGATTCACGCGTCGTTTGGACTGCTCGAGTTGCGTGGAGTGCTCAATTCGCAAGGACGACCGTTTGATCGTGCCCCCATGTCGAGAATTTCATGATTTGGGCCTGCCTTGTCCAAAGCGGATGGCTGACAGGTTTTTTCATGACCCTCCGGCGCGGGGGTCAGGCTTGGGTGCATGCAACGTTGTGGCAGTATTCAATGGTCGTTCGTTAGAGGCAATATGAACTTACACATTAAGCAATACAAATTGCTTGCACGGCACGCATGTCAATATCGTCATCATACATGGACATTAAGCTATTTGGTTGAAGCATAGACTTCGATCACAATCAGCAAAGCAATGATCTCTGTGCTTTGAACATTGCTGTATATGACACGACCGATGGCATGCTCTTACGATAGGATCCCATGCATGGGCAGAAACGCACTAGGTCGACTCTCAATTCACGCATGTGAAAGTGTTGCTTCAAGTCGAAATTTCGCCAATCTGCATCGTGCTTCAAGCTTATAATTGCAACATGCACACTAGGAAAGTGAGCTGCAGGTTCAATCTACGAGGCAAGGAGAATGCGACTGTATTGGAAGCAGTGCGTATGCAAGCTCTCCACTGCTTACCGTCACGGTGTTTCGATCACCGAGATATATGATTCTGATCGTCTTCGAAAGGCCGTGGAGCCAAAAGTTATGCTGAAACCAATCCTACGTATCATCGTCAGAGTTTGCATAACGAACACTGGTATTGCGATTGGACATATGGTGGCATGCACGGCACGGCATCGGACTCCCGCTCGTGCAACCACAGATTGTGAGTTTGGAAGGTCTTCAGGTGTAGTTGCACCAGAAGTAATCTCAGGTCTCAGTTAACTATCTACAATTTAGCGATGCAAGTTCCCCTTCAAACAACTGGCTTACACCTGCAAAATCTTTGGTGGGGCCCCACCCAATCCACCTACTCTACACGCCATACAAATTCTCTCACTGGTTCTATCGCCATCGATCGACCCTTTGTCAAGTCTGTACAAATGCTGAGGCATATTCCTGCTCTAGGTGCTCTTTGAGACTCTTTGTACACAGATATTTGAGTTCCGTTTCTTCGATTGCACTACAGACACTTCGCCAGATTGCTATACAGAATCCTCCTACCGTTGAAGCTGCACTCAAGCCACTCGAACACAGATCCTTTTCATCTCCCGCCCATTCTGCAGCCCACCTACTCCAGCTCACGCCAAGTCCAAACCCTCCACCTTCCGCTCAGCGACTCCCTGACGAGCCACTCATCCCGGCCGTTTACCCCAAGCACCTCTTCACGTTTACTAGGCTTGCTTAACCAATCCCCTAACCACCGACTCTCCCCGCCCCTTTGCCACGGGCACGTCACCACTTCTGCGAAGGTCTGATTAACCGATCCCCTAACCACCCACTCCTCCCGGCCCTTCAACCCGGGCACTGCTTCACTTCTGCGAGGTCTGCTTGATTTCCTCCCCGGTCTTCTCCATCCCCTCCCCCGCGCGCTGCCCCGCCTCGCGCGCCTTCCTCTGCGCGTATTCCGTTGCCTCGCGCCCCTTCTGTGTGATATCGCGCGTGACGTACGGGATCCTCTGCGTCGCCTCCTTGGCGCCCTCGTACAGGTCGACCGGCGCCTTCTTGGTCTTGGAAGACCTGCAGCAAGGTTTGCCAGATTCTGAACTTTTGTTACGAGCATCCGGCGAAGATCTGGAGTGTTCGGGGTATGTTCCGCTGCCGGCGCGTTCTTGGTCCTGGAAGATCGGCAGCGGGGTTTTTTGCCCATCTGGTTAGTGGTTGCGAAAAGCTGGTGAGATCTGAAGCGGGCCGCAAATGCGGGGTGCGTTCTGTTCCGTCATGAACTTTCATCAAAAAGTTGGTCAACCGAGGTTTAGATTCTTTAAGTGGGCAACTGTTGACCGACCTGACACCTTCTTGGTCTTTCAGGGGCCTACGGCCGATTGTAAAGAAGACCAGATGTCAGAGCTCGATTGTATCTGAAAGACCCGGTCACTCGAAGGCCGAATGAATTGAACCTCCGTCTCCGAATGCTTTGTCAGCGATCGACTGCCCTGATATAGCTGGCCGTCGAGAAACCACAATTCGTGACCACTTCCAATCAGATAAACAATTGAGAAACCCTAAGAATCAGACCTTATTACAAGAGAGTGGAACAAGAGGGATTGTCTTGACGTTTTACCGCCTTTGATTCAACTACACCACTACGAAACTGCTTCGAAACCCTTCAACAAATCGCGCCCATCTGCTCATTCTCATCCAAAGAGAATGCAACGGGCTTTGTTTTGAGTTACTCCTTGTACACACTGTTTTGCGAAACTCGATATATATTTGGTACAGAAACATTTTGCGAAAGCTTGAGCCGATGATCAGAAATAAACGAACGATCCTTTTCCAACCCGTAATTTCGGCATCCAAATCGGCAAACCCAAAGCAAACCCACTTGATGATTTTTCAGACCCAGTAGACTGACAGCAAGAAGACGATGGCGGGTAACAATTCCCACGTCAAGCACACCCACGAGTACGCTAGCAGACCCCCAAAGCAGTCACCCAAGCCAGAAACTCGTGACACTAACCCGCCGATGCAAACAAAAACTGGCAAATCCAGATCAAAGCCACGAACCACAAACCCACCTGATGAAGTTTCAAAAGCACTAGACGGACAGCCCGAAAACGACTGCCGGGGATCACGCCCCAGTCAAGCACACCCACGGGCAATCCCCAAGCAATTAGCAAACAAGACCCTGGTCACGCTAACCCGCGATCAAACCCACCTGATGAAGTTCCAGAACCAAAAGACGGACAGCCCAAAAACGACAGCGGTCCAGCCACGAGCAATCCCCAGACAAGCAGAAACACGACACTGGTTTTGTTAACGCGCGAGCAAACCCACCTGATGAAGTTCCAGAACCAGTAGACGGACAGCCCGAAGCGGACGGCCAGTAATTCAATGAGGACATCCATTCACAGAAACCAGACACTGGTTATGTAAACCCTGCAGCTGACCCACCTGATGAAGTTCCAGAACCAGTAGACGGACAGCCCGAAGAGGACGGCCGCGAGCGTGAGGCCGCCGAGGACGGGCGGCGCCGCGAGCGCGAGCGCGGCGATCGGGCCCCAGATGGGGCTCGTGATGGCCGCGATGCCGAGCAGCACCGGGCTGAACAGCAGCAGCAGGCCGCCGCCGATGAGCACCGTCGGGATGGCGACCATGCCTGCGGGAAAGAGGATGTGGTAAGTTCAAATGCTGGCTTTTGGTCGCCGTTGCGTAAAAAGAGAGAGAACCTGGTGTCAACGGGAAACTATCGCCCTTACAAAGAAGATTCACAACACACCGTCGGGATGCTGAGAATGGATGCGGGGAGAGGGAGTGGGTCAGTCGAGGAAAGCGGGGAGTGGTCGCCTTCTTGAATGAGATGTGGGAGCTGTTCTGAGACTTGCTGGAGCTTATGGAGTCGCTCTTTTGCATTTGAATAAGAGTCGGATGCAATGGTGGGACACAATTACTTTCTCTAGAAGTTCGAAAGCCGAGTCGATCTCAGCTTGCAGTAGCTTAGGACTGGAGGTTTAATGAGTCAAAAGGGGAAACAAACAGCCGTTTGCTCTGCAGAGTTTCTATGCATGCGAAGACGCAGATTCGCGCTACGTGAGATCTACGTCGATGCAAAACAGATTAGCCTTGCATCATTTACGTAGATTTTGAAAGGCCCGATTCAGTGAAATGTGGCAGTGAATCTCCTTCTGCCGATCACCCGATATTGTTTCACTTCCAAAAGTTGCTTCCGAGAAGATCAAGCAACGGTAACATATACAAACGCATGTCAACTCTCCCTGATCTGTGAGAACCGCAAGAAACGCTGGGCGAGAATCGGAAACGAAGTTCTGGGGCCTGCTGAATTGTCTTTAACAAACGGAGAAACAAGTCCAGAAAAACTGAAAGGAATTGCGGAGTTACCGAAAGCGATCGCGCCGACGGTTGCCAGAGTCAAGATCGTGCCGCCAACGAGGATTCTGCATGCACAAAAAGGCAAAACTTTGGAAATGTCAAGAACCTCTTTCCATTCCATCTTGGCTGCAGTGCTGATTAGACATCAAAACGGCAAGGCACTCTGGTTTTGGCTGCAGAGAGGAGCCCAACATTAGATCGAAGAAGTCGCCCCGAAGTCACAAGCTCGTTTCAACTTTTTAAGGTGTGCATGCACGAAGAGTGCAGACTGAAAAGAGTGCAAACAGGCACGAAACTACTCGGACCGCAGGTTAAGATTCGAAGACCACCGCCCATGTAGAATGATACACATTAAAATACGAGGAAACTTCGGGAATCAGATATTATTATGACTGTAAAAAGTACGCATCAGAAAACCATCAAGATTCGGAGACGAAAAAAGCGGTGAATAAAAAGTGGTGAAGAATGCTGCCCGGAGTCAAACCTTTGCTCGATTAAGAAAACGCAGAGGAAAACATGAAAGAAAGTAGGAAGAAGGAAATGTCAGCATTCTCACGATCAAAGAGCAGCATGAAGATTCGAAGGACACACGGAGGTATGTCAGGTAGAAAATTAGACACGAAACCGCTTGACAGGGTTGCGGAGGAAATCAACAAAGATTAGAGCATAACATCATAGTCTCTTTTTCTTGGGCACAATAATTAAAATTAGCAAAAGCATGTCCGAGAGAAACCACTCTCACAACGTACAACCTTGCAGAGAAAGATCTACTGCCACAGCATTGACACCAGCACCAAAACCTTCCGCAAAAGTCTCCCTTACCTGAACGCCCACACATCTCTGGGCCTCCACTCTTCCCGGGGCTTGCCGACCGCCTGCCCGAACTGCTCCTCCGCATGCTCCGCCCCGCGCTCCGCGCGCTCGCGCACATCGCCGCCGCGGCCCGACATGGTTCGCAGTCGATAGTCTCGGGGAAAGGGGAAGAGAACAGAGACGCCGGAAAGCAAGAAAGCTAGAGAGCTGGATGAGAGGATGGGCAGAACGGGCGGCGAGCGTCTATTTGAAGAACGGCAGCGCAACTTGGAGGGAAGGAGCGAGGAGTTTGGTAGTGCGGCTTCGACACTGCTTTGAGTCACTCGCAAGAAGATCATTTCAAGCGTGACGCTTTCTCAGCTGCAAACTTATCCAAGGGTGTCCTCGTCAGCAGTCTCCCTTCTGACAAACTAGCTAACACTGCTCAGCACTGGTTGGGACAGAGATGCTAATAAGTCGTCCTGGCAGTCTTAAGCCAAACGAACCACAATCGGACATCAAACTAAGACGTGCTTTGGTCTTGCGTTCCACGTGCTTCGCATGCAACATGCACAAAGGACATTAGCTCAAAGTGCCGCCCATAATGGCTTCGAGCCGCTGCTTGTTGACGTTGGGATGTCACGAACCCTTCAGTCGCTCTCGATTGCGCAGAATCAATTAAAACCGTCACGGTATACACCAGATCAGCTCCAGCCTACAGCGGCTACTCTTCCAAGTAGCAATTCATTTGCGCCTTCAAGCGTACGTCGCTCCGATAGCGCGCGGAAAGACCTACCAGGCAGGCCAGAACCATCCAGCAACTGTCAGTGCGCGGGCGCGGCTATCTCTTCTCGGGTTGACGCGAGAAGTGCATATGCATCATGAGTGATCCCCGCTGAACAAACACTTTACGGGCCTGGAGCTTGCACATCTCTCATTTGGTCCGACAACCGTGTACAGGGAATGCCCGTTCAAGACGTTGCCAACGGTTTGAGTCTTGAAGGGCCCCTGCAGACGGTGCAGCTCTGCATGCTGCATACCAACTTCGTACTTCAATTACCAGCTAGCTCGATCATGTCAGCAATCATCATAAGCTTACGTCGAGCTGAGCGCAGACTCTCATGAGGCATAATGAGTACGAGCACTGCATCGCTAGCTGCTCTCGTGCTACTAAACGTGTCAGTGTAATTTGGGATGAATAGGGGCGATTCTTTTCGATCAAGTAGTGACTGCATCCTGTAAGAATATGCAGTACTGCAGTTTATATATGCCGAAAAGCATGCATTGGCCGTCTAGTGGGACCAAGGATCACGGAAGTCGAAACACCGAGCTTTCAGACCTCGAGAGCACTTCCTTGCTGCAAGCACGATGAGCGAACCGGAGCTTTTTGATTACCGCTGCGCTGAATCAGTATTTGACCCGACGTTGTCCTTGATTACAGATCGCCAGATGTGCAAAATCTAACCTGCAATTTGTACGTAATTGCTATTCGTTCGCGCCCGGGACCTTCTGAGATGCACTGCTTTTTGACTTCCGTCGCTCCGTTTCCGGTACTTCCTTCCGTCATTCGGTCCCGCGCGGCGCATCCGGTCAGTGCATCCACAGCTTGAGCACCTTGTCCTTGCCGCCGGACGCCACTTTTTGTCCGTTCGGACTCCAGTCCACCGCGTATACTTCGTCCGCATGTCCGGGCAGATCTTCTTTCAATTTCCGCGTACGCATGTCCCACACTTTGAGCGTACTGTCTTTACTTCCGGACACCAGCATGCGGCTGTCGGACGACCACGCGATCTGGTACACGGGGCCCACGTGGCTCCGGAATGTCGCCACGAACGCGCCAGAGAAGCCGTCCCACAGCTTGACGGACTTGTCGAA